GATGGTATAGATGGATGGATTTAAACTTGGTATAATGGATGATTGGACGGATGGATGGATAGAGGGATGGATGGATGATGGTTGGATGAGTAAATGCATTGAAGGTTGGTTTAATGATGGATGGATGATGGTTGGATGGAGTGGATGGATAGATGAATGATGGATGGTTTATTTGATAATGGGATGAATGGACGGTTGGACAGATAGTTGGTTAGGTGGGTGAATGAATGAATGAACTGGTAGGTGGTTATATGAATGAATTAATGAATACATGGATGGATGGATGATGGATGGTTTGTTTGATGGTTGGATGAATGGACGGTTGGATAGATAGTTGGCTAGGTGGATGAATGGATGAATGAATGAATGAACTGGTAGGTGGTTATATGAATGAATTAATTAATAGATGGATGGATGGTTTGTTTAATGGTTGGATGAAAGGACAGTTGAATAGATAGGTGGTTAGGTGGGTGGATGGATGGATGGATGGATGGATGGATGGATGGATGGATGAATGAATGTGTGAACGAGTAGGTGGTTATATGAATGAATCAATGAATAGATAGATGGATGGATGGATGGATAGTTGGATGGAAACTTAGAACTATCTAATTTCCACATCCAGATGACTCTTACAGATGACACTGGCTCATAATGCAGGATTGGGAGCCGCCACCCACCTGAAACAAACACAAACAACAAACCATTTACCCCCTTCTTATTCTCTCTCTCTCTCTATCTCTCTCTCTCTCTCTCTCTCTCGTTTGGCTTTGAGTGGGATACAGCAATCACAGTTTGCTGCAGTCCTACTCTTAGATAAAGACACAGGCAAAATGATTAGAGTTTTGTGAATGGACCTACACGAAAGAGAGGAAAAGCGTGAGAGAGCGAGGAGAGAGTATTTTTGCTAAATCTGTATGCAAAGCACAGAATGGTGAGTCAATAGTGAGTCACAGCGATCTGGAGACACGCTCAAAATGTCATATTCCGTCACTCTCTCCCTCCCCCGACCCAGCCACAGGAAATGAAAGGATAAAGAGAGGGGAAGAGAGATGCCGAAAACAAGCAAGAGAACATTGAATGCATTATTAATGAGAAGGGGAGTTATGGTGTCAAAGATAAAGTCAAATCACCGGAACAAAGAGATAAATAAAAATGTATTTATTTTTTGGGTTACCTTGCATCTTGTCGTCACGTATAATGTTATTGTTACTTTATCCTGCACTACAAATACGTGCATATACTTGTACACACACAAACTGGACACACACTCACAGTTAACTTGGAATTATTGTATAATAATTAGTGAGAGCTGTGTATTTAGTAGATAACTGAAAACGTACAAGTAATGTAAGTGATGTAATTGTAGGTAAACTGAATTATATGGAGTTTTTATTAGATGACTCTTTTCCGCCCTCTAGTGGTTAAGTGTCATCACTGTATTGAAAGCACATTTTTACACTGCATCTGGTACAAAGTTGCAGTGAAATTTTTGTTGCGTTCCAGCAGTTCACTGGCACTGCAAACACCTATGATCACTTACAGCTCAGCTAGTAGAAGAAGATCTCAAGAATATTAGGAATGCAACTCAATAGGTGCTTTTAAATCCAGTTAAATACATGTTTGTCAAGGCCTGCATATGCATAGAAATACTGTGGCTCATTTTCGGTTTGTAATTGTGCTGTTATTTTTGTTTACAGCTTAGTGTTTTATTGTCCCAGTGTTCTACTTACAGTCCTCTTGGATTTTGTGTGAAAAGTGCTACATAAAGATGTATTATTATTTATTATGTTTATTGTTTATCATTTATTAGTTATCATTTATTATTTATCAGCAAAGTAGTATATAGACAGTAATTCATTAATTTATTTAATTATTTTTATATTATTTACTTTTTAACATCAAACTTATTAATTCTAGTACTTAAATAAACATTTTTTTTAATGTTTTTTAAAATTTTAAAGGGTCCTTATCCTGCATTTTTCTGGCATGTAATTCTTTCAGCTGAGGTCCACTTATGAAATGTCATGTATTAAAATAGTCATAATTCATTTTTACATGACCATTTTCCAGCCTCCCTATGTCTCTTACAATTAAACAAGCTAATTTTCCTACTGCATCTTTAAGACCAACATATGTAAATGAGCTCTGTTATGATTGGCTGCCACGTGTTGTGTCTCATCTATCAAGCAGTCCAGGGTGAAACACTCCTTATAGCATTGGTGTGAAGGGGCGGAACTAAACTGCTGCTTAAACAAGCAGATGTATGAAAATGTGTGACATCACAAAAACAGTGAATTTAAAATAGGCTGTTTTTGCAGCTTAGATTCAATATGTGCACTGTATGGATGAAGGAATGAGGAGGATATTTTGAATCCTGAACAGTGCTTACATACTACATCAAACTCTTTTATCAGCAAAACAAAGGAGATGATCGTGGACTACAGGGAGCTGCAGAGGGGTGGTCACTCTCCTCTATTCATCAATGGAGCCGAAGTGGAGAGAGTCAGTAGTGTGAAGTTTCTCGGTGTACACCTCACCTGGTCCCTCCACACCAACACTATCATGAGATCTGCCTGTCAGCGTCTCTTCCTCCTGTGTAGGCCCAGGAAGTTTGGTCTGCCTCCTCAGATCCTCACCAACTTCTACAGATGCACCATAGAGAGCATCCTCACGGGCTGCATCACTGTCTGGTACAGCAGCTGCACCGCCTGCGACCGCAAGGCCCTTAAAGGAGTGGTGAGGATGGCAGAAGCCATCGTAGGCAACAAACTACCAGTCTTACAGGACATCTACCAGTCCCGCTGCCTCAGGAAAATCAAAAAGATCCGGTCAGACAGCATCACCCAGCACACAGCCTGTTCACCATCCTGCCATCAGGCAGGAGATTTCGCAGCATATAGGCTAGAATAACCCGGTTAATGAACAGTTTCTACCCACAGGCTGTCAGGCTTCTGAACAAGCTGTGAAGCTGTGGGTCCTTCCCCTACTAGCATTTCACTCAGTCACTCTGTCAGCATTATTATTATATCATATCTCTGCTATGGACAATAACGCTACGTCACTTTAAATAATAATAACATTAAGTCACTTAAGTCACTTTAAAATGTACAATGTCTCTATATTTTGTGTATATTTAATATATTTCAGTTTGTTTTTCTTGCATTTTTTAATTTTTTACTTGTTTACTTTCTGTAGAGTGATTACCTGAGCCTCACGACAAGCATTTCAATGCATAAATGTCCTGACATGTTGTGCAAATGACAAATAAACTTGAAACTTTTATTTTAAAAAAGTGAGGCAAAAAATTATTTTCCATGTTATGGGCCCTTTAAGTCAGTCTCATTTATAATCTTGCTTTCTTGCATTTAAAGCCTGCTTTGCTTGTTTCCGTTCATCATCAGAGGATAATCAGTTGATGAAAACTGCTCAGACGCCAACAAATTTGACCGTGATGGGGAGTGTCATTGTGGGTTTAATGGTCCACTCCCACTGGCGCTGTTTACTCTGCTCCATAATGAGTTGTCTTTCACTGACAAGGGGATGAAGCCAGCGTGAAACAGCAAAAACACAGAGGCTGATCATTTTGCTACTGTTACAAAACATTGCTTATTTATATGGCAGGAGGCCAATCAGAGAGCTGCTGTAGTGCAGTGTAGGCCTGTGTGTCTGCAGCTCACATTTAAAGATCCCACTGCATTCATATTAATGCCTGAAGGGGTCATTATTTAGTCATTAGCCTCTCATTATCGTAGCATACTTTTTCATATCAATGGTTCTGATAAAATGTTACTAAACTGTAAAATGTGTCATATGACATTATTGAATAAAAGATCACATAAGCCATTTTTACAGAAATGCATTAAGGGTGTTCTCCGGTTTCCTCCAACAGCCCAAAGACATGCAGTCAGGTCAGTTGGACATGCTAAATTGCCCCTAGGTGTGAGTGTGTGTGTGTGAATGTGTATGTCTGTCTGTCTGCCCTGCAATGGACTGGCGACCTGTCCAGGGTGTATCCTGCCTTCCGCCCAATGACAGTTGGGATAGGCTCCAGCACCCCAACACCACACAGAGGGATAAGCGGTTTAGAGGATGTGTGTGTGTGTGTGTGTGTGTGTATGTGTGTGTGTGTGTGTGCGTGCGTGTGTGTGTATGTGCGTGTGTGTGTGTGTGTGTGTGTGTGTGTGTGTGTGTGAGTGAGTGATGGTAGGAATGCATGTTTTATTTTATTTTATTTTATTTTATTTACTACATGTAAATGTCTGTCTGATACTGTGCAATGTGAGCTCCCGTAACCAAAACCAAATTCCTTGTATGTGTAAGCATACGTGGCCAATAAAGCTTGATTCTGTTTCTGATTCTAATGTTTTTCAAAAAATACGTTTTAAGCCAAAACCTTATCTCAAAATTATCGTAAAACAATCTCTCAGCCATCAGGCAGCATATTTGTAATACTTTTTGTGAAATAACGTTCTGTAATGCTGCTTCTAGAGGCATTAAACTCTTGAGACGTCTGGTTCCTATCACTACCACTGTAAACAGTTCTGATTCTTTTGTAAGTTTCTCTAGAGTAAGGCATTTCACACCAAACCTGTCTTTCTAATTTTGTTTACTTCCTAATGATTTAATTATGCATGAATTTTCGGATGCACTCGGACCCTCTGAATGAATGTGGTGTTTTCCCTTTCAGCAGTACTTTAGCAGCTGCATTTTGAGGCAGCTGTAACCAGCCAACAGTCCTTTCAGTCCTTTTAAATTAATAAACAAATAATTTGAGTTTAGTGTTTTTAAAGTGTTTAAAACTGACCAAACTCCTTTAGCACTCGCCTATATAACTCAGCGCACATAAACAACCATTACGCAAAGCGGTCTGGTCACCAAGGCAACCGACCAGCGTTGACTCCGCCCTTTCCAAGAAGTTGTTCAATGAGGAGAGCGCAAATGGCGAAATGGGCGTGGCCACCAGCAGCCCGTCACCTTCGCAACCGTTTATCTGACAGGACTGAAGTTCAGTCGTGACTGAAGGAAAACCACTAAACCGAGCGGGAGGAAGACGGAGGGAGGAGAGCAGACAGATGCTAACGCCGCCTCGCCTTGTAAGCGTCGTGTCGTGTGAAATATGAGCCGCTGAGAGGTGAAATAACCGATTAAAAGCCGCACATCTGCTCGCCGGTCTTCTGGAGAGCTGGTCGAACACACTTTCTTATCGGAAGCAGCAGAACACGCCGCTGAAACCGCACAGGTTAGTTCGCTTCTCCTCCAGTTCACTTTTCTGACTGAGAGCAGTGAAGTAGGACTAGACACCTGTTCATGTAGGCTTTATGTCCCTCATTTTTAACGTGTTGGCAGCGTGTTGAGTTGTTATGTGGCAGCTTACCTTAAATTCATGAATCCTGTGGTTCTCCGTCAGTCCTGTTCCCGGAGCTCTAGACGCACCTGGTGAAACTAATGAACTAATTAGCAGGTTAGCATGTGCTTCCTGAGTTGGGTTTGTTACTACACTACAGTAGTGCTGCTGCAGGGTTGAGAACCACTGTTTTAGAATTGCAAAAATAAGCCTCTAAGCCTACAGTCTTAAAAAAGATGGTTCTTCAAGGGTTCTTTAGTAAAGACAATGGTTTTATGGAACCATGAACACTCGAATGCTTAAAGCGTTCTTGGCTTGGTGAAATGGTTCTTCAGATTGATGGATAATGTGTTGTATATGGTTTTATGTAGAACGTATTTGAAAATGTCAAGATTGTACAGTAAACATTTTCAAAAAAATAAGGATATAGAACCATATGCAAAGCATTCTCCATCAGTCTGAAAATCCATTTCACTATGCAAAGAACCAGTTAAGCATGCAGATGGTTGGTTGACTGTTCACGGTTCTATATAGAACCACTGTCTTTACCAAAGAACCCTTGAAAAAAACATCTTTTTAAAAGTGTAGGCCGGTTTTGATCGAGCAGTGGGTCCTGGTGGGTCAGATAACTTCAACCATAAGATACCAAAATGTAGATTCAGCCAATCAGCGGACAGCGTTGGACAGCGATGATTTCTGGCTGAAGTTCTCGAGCTGATGGAGAATTGTTGCTTACTGGAAATCCTTGATTTATGGCTCAAGTTAGCTGACTAACAGAGAAATCTTGCTGCATGGCTTTGTAAGACTTCAGGCCTGAATTATCTAGCTAGTGAAGAAATCTTTATGACTTCAGTCTTAAGTTATCTGGACAACTGAGAAATCCTGATTTTGGCTTAGGATAGCCAATTAACAGAGAAATCTATGACTTCAAGGTTAAGTTCACAGCTACATAGCCACAACTTCAGACTTTTTCTGAAGAAAGCGGAAGAAAGACTTGCTGTCGGGACCAAAAAAAAGCTCCTACAATTTGCCAAACATTGAAAGGAAGAACTAACTCTTGACATGAAAATGTCTTGTCTTAAATCTCTGTGTGCCACATTTTTTGGATTCTTAGAAATTCTTAAGAGTGAAATCTAACTGAAGTATATTCCCATTAATATTTTATGTTTTTAAGTTCACTTGAGCTAGTTAGTTAGGTTTTGGGGTCAGAGTGTCTCCCAAACTACAATCAGACACCACCTATATAACCACAAGTTGTTTGGGGGGAGTTGCCAGAAGGAGGCCTCTGTTGCTAAGGACCAGCAAACTCAAGCACCTGCAGTTTGCCAAAAGTTACTGGAACTTTCAGTGGGACTGTGATGCTCAGATGAGACCAAAACAGAAGTTTTTGGCAACAAACACCAGAGGAGAGTTTGGCGTGGACAAAAAGATAACCATGCAGAAAAGCCATGCATCCTCACTGTGAAGTATAGGGGTGGATCTCTGACACTGTGGGGCTGTTTTTCTTCCAGAGGCCCTGGACAATTTATTCGGATGCACAATATAACAGACTCCATCATGTACCAGCACAAGTCAAAGAAGACAAGGATCCAGAGCACGGCTCAAAATCAACATAGAACACAGTTTCTCCATGGCCACCTCAGTCCCCTGACCTAAACCTCATAGAAAACCTGTGGGATAAGCTGAAGAGGAGAGTTCACAGTGTCTGTGGAGGGGTTCTGGAGAGGTTCTGTATAGAGCAATAGTCTCAGATCCTTTGCCATGTGTTCTCCAATCTCATTAAGCATTAAAGGAGAAGAGCTGTTATTTTTGCAAAGGGAGGCTGCACAAAATATTCAGTAACGGGGTGCCAATAATTGTGGCACACACTGATTTGAGAAAAAAAAATTATTTCCTGGTAAGATTTAGTTTCAGTCAATGTACTTGGGTTAGATTTTTTATTAACATTTTGAATGAAAGATTAAAAGCTCAGCAATAAAGAATGTTTTGTACAGCCTGTTTTGCTCATGTTTACCAGGGGTGCCAATATTTGTAAAGGGCACTGTAGCTATGACCTCAGTCTTGAAGTGAGAAATCCTACTTTGTGGTAAGTAACTCACATGGGGAGCCATGAGAATGAGATGTGTTGCAAATTACTGTGTTTTCGCAATGCAGAACACTAAGATTTATGAAATGGGCCAAGTGTGCTGTATCATTCTCACTCTGGTGGTAACTGAGGTGATATAATCGCTATTACACAGCCCAGAGACCACAGCATCACATGATAATGGACTAAGTGAGGCTAAATAGTGTTGCCTGCACAATGTTTTGGCTCCACTTTTTGGTATTAGGCCTACAGCCATGCAGGCACAGTAACCTTTTATGTTGAACCCAGATTTACATATAATAAGTTAGTTATTTGCAATTATTGTGAAACCAAAACCTATTGTAGTTTTTAATGACAGAATTCTGGTAGACAGTCGAAAAATGTCTCTCTGTTATAACATTGTCTCTCTGTTATTACTGTTTTTTGATAAACAGACCATGTATTCTGTTTTGTCCTTCCTTCTCTTAATTTAATGCATTCTGACAGCAGCTAAGTTAGAAATGGGGTCAGATATAGTTTACGCTACATTCAGAGAGGCAGCTGTCTTTGTCATCTGATCACTGTCTGCCAGCTGTTTACATGTAAGGTGGAGCTGTTATTTAAACATGACTCTGCTCTTCCAGTTAATCTGTCACTTTCTGCGGTTTTCTACAGCCGAAGCTCAACATTTGCTGTTGAAATTGATTACAGAGTCAGTCACATGATGTTTGTTTTTAGCTCTGTGTTTCTCCCTCTCTCTTGCAGGTGTGATGGAGGGGATCCCGCGAGGTTGGGCCGGGGTGCGCACCCTGCCGTGGTACGTGGCGGGTTCCCAGGTGCTGGGCGTGACGTGTGTGATAATCACAGGCGTGTGGATGGGGCACTACTACGGGGGCTATGCCTGGGACGGTTCATCACAGCAGTTTAACGTGCACCCGCTCTGCATGGTTCTCGGCCTTGTCTTCCTTTATGGAGATGGTGAGATTGCAGATAAACAGGGATATGTGGGTATCATTGGTATCAAACCTGCTAAGAAACCTCCTCTTAATGTGAAGTCTTTGAAGTTTAAACAGCCTTTCCAAACCTAAATGGTTTTCTTATAAAAATGATTGCTGCAAAGAGTGAATGAAAGCAAATGGGGAACACAAATAGGTTTATGTAAGCATCTGAAATGGTTTTATTCGAAAATATCTACAGTATATACTTTGATATATATGAAACAGTCAGACATTAATTATACTGTGATGTACATTTTTGGCCGTACTGCCCACTACTATGGTACAGTAATGGAGGATGTTGAATAAAATTACAATACTGAGCACTGATACTATTTAACATGGATATGAAGTGAATATGAAATAGACAAAAAACAACTGACTAAACTCTTAAAATGCAATTTTAAATCCATCGTATTATTTTTCATAATTCTTAAAGTGACTATTTGGTGAAAAATTAAATTAATACAATTTCTTTGTATGTGTAATGATTTTGTGCTGAAATATTTCTTTACCTGAAGTATTAAGTTCAAGCTTAATAACTGGAAAAGAGTTAGAGAGCGTGGAATCAATTTAGATATTGGCCATGCACCATCACTGATCACACCACTGAAATGTGCTTGGGGTAAATCTGGCACCGTCTACAAGTTCTGCACAAATGAAATTATTTGGAAAGGAATAAAACAGCTGATTCTGACACCACGCTGGATTTGTTCAATGATTTTGTGTGTGAACAGTAGGAACAAACAAGTCGTAGCTTCTTTGGCAACTCGTGCACACACCATAGTTATCAAAGTTCTGAAATTTTCATTATTTTTTATTTTTATGTAGTTTTTCATTTAGATTTTTAATGTCATTGTATTATTTAAGTTTTTAACTGCCATTAGGTACATTATTCTTTTCGGAGTAGACATAATATAATCCATTTGCATACAGGAGGGGGAAAACCAAAGAAAAATAAGTGAAACAAAGGACTTTAAAAATTAAAAAAGTTAAAAAAAGATTAAAAAAAGATACAGACAAACTGGGATTCCTAACGAGCAAAACCTGGTAGAGCACCAAAACTGTCCCCTGTCCCCATCAGATAAACAGCACTGAAGAGGTCTTAAAGGATGTGTAGCTTTCAGGAAGCCCTTACTGAGAAAAGGAAACAGACAAAAAGATTAAAAAATGCAAATCAAACAATATCATTACTTTTAGTGTACTCCAATTCTCTTTGACCATCATTGCCAACAGGTACAAATCTGCTTTATTCAAGAACTGGCTTGTACTCAGAATAACCTCAGACTGGATTGTAGTATCAGTCTGGTGAGTTTTGCTGTTTTCGCAATGCCAAATGAACACAAGACTAGACTGTGCTATGTTGAAAGATTATCTTTAAGATACATACAAAGACAAAGAATGGATCTAAAAAGTCCTTGGTGTGTAAAGATACTTGTGTTGCAGTGGACACTATAGGTTGGATTTAGTGTTTGGTGTTTTTGGTTTTATTACAGGACTAACAATATTTTTTTTCACTGCTTGTTTTTGTGTTTAGTTTTGTGCATCTTTTTTTCAGTCAGTGAACTCTGGGTCTAAGCCAGTTTTCTCTATGAGAAAAATTAATTGAGTTTTCATAATCTGACCCACTAGCGCCCGCTGAATGTCACTAGATCCTCCAATTTATGAGGTCATTACAGATAAGCTGAAATACAAACATTACTGCATACATATTACAAGTAGTCTAACAGTTCTGCACATTGAATTGATGTCACATGAAAGTGAGGCTACTACTGTGCTTCAGCACTAATGTATAGCTGAGCTACCACATTGGTGGGTTACATAATCGAGTGATGTAATCCAGTGACATTCAGTGGAAAAACATATATAGAAAAATACATTAATAACTCTATACTTCTAAGGATTATAGCAAAAAGCATTGTAAACATAACAAGTGAACCACAAACATTGGTGTCTCTGAAATCTGACCGATGAGTCATCCATGATGGTGGGTCACAAAGAGCACTGACTGCATTTTCATTAGAATGAAGGACAGCCTCTCGCTTCCTCACTGCATATTCCTTCTCTGGCCGTGTTGAGGTGTTTAACTTGGCAGGTCAGACTGACCGGTTCTTTGGAAAGCTCTGGAGGGGGCCTCCTGAAGTGTTGGCACCAGCTTAGTACTTTCAGCTTGGTGCTGTTGTTGTGTAATAAGGGAAAGAGACGTAAGTTTCCAGGCGGTAAATTAACCGTGGAGAAAACACTGCTCAAAAAACAGGAGAGAAAAGCAGAGGCTGTTATTTTGAAGAAAGTTCAAAGAAGACTCTTAAATCACTGTTTGTGTGGCCTTAAAGTGCTTTTGACTCAGCATGTTAGTGTTATCACACGGCCACCACACAGCTCTATCACTGGACAAACACAAAGTGTGAGAAAGGTCATGTCTGAATACCCTTAGTAGTTTTTAACACAACACTTTAAAAAATAATGCATTGGTTTTTGTCACTGTCCTAACAAAACCTTGTTTCTAGATAGCTGACTTGCATAATGAAGAGGAAAGTCAAAGCAAAATAAGTGAAAAAAACAGGAGTTTACAAAGCTGGAGTTAAAATGATAATAGATATAGATAATAGATAATAGATATAGAGAAAATGAAATTCCTGAAACATCTGCGCAAGATGTGCCAGACCACCAAAACTGTCCCCATCAGATAAACAGTACTTAAAGCTTTCATCTTTGAGAGAGAGGAGAAAATCAAGCTCCACTCTTACTTCAGATCTGAAAAAAAATCCACAGGTGTTTCTGTCCATCCTTCAACTGTGAGAAGACTCAACACTATGAGTCTGAAAGGATGTGTAGCTGTCAAGAAGGCATTGCTGAGAAAAGAGACAAAAAATTGCACTAGAACGCCAAACCTGGATATCTGAGATGTGGAGGTTTAAAGGTTTTATGCACTAATTGCAAAATTTGTAATTACGATATTTCTGATCGTGAAAAGCAGAAAATGCAACCAATTTCTAAGACTGAACTTTGGAGGTGTGGAAAAACATGACTGCAAAATTCAAAGCAAGTCTCCTGAAAAGAATGGAGGCTGTAATAAAGGAAAAAAGTTGAGATACTGAATGTGATAAACATTGATATTATATTTAGTTGTTGAAGCTTAATTGTTAAAAGAATATATGTTTTATGCTTTTTTTGACGCTGGAAAATTAATAACTTGTATTTTATGGCCGTTTTGAGTTGAGTTGATGTAATATATTCTCTTCACAGGGAAATTGTGTACACATTTAAATTAAGCAACACCTGTGCTTCATTGTTTCAGTGTAAGGAAAATTCAAATATTTACTGAATGAAAACACTGTATATAAGAAACATCCCGATGTCATACTGCATAAGCTCAAATCTCAATTAGAACCAGTGAAAATGGAGTGATATGTAGTAGATAATGCATGTTAAGAGACAGAAATCCAGAAACACAGTTAAAAAGTAATGTATGGTGCTTGTTCTTGTTCCACGCAGACCAAATTAGAAATAGACCCACAGAGCAGATGTCATAGATATAACTGTGTGCTGTGTCTATTAATCATTAGCCACTGCAATCAAGGTGACTGCAGTTGAGGAAATAGTCTGTACTGATATTAAAGAATAATTCCACCAGTTTTTCACTCTGATTTCTTTACTATGGTAGTGGTATGAACCATTTTATCCAAAATGGCCAAAAATGTAAAAAAATAAACGTCTTTTGCCAAAACCTTCATAAAACAATATGCCAGGCTTCATGAGGCGCATTCATAACCATTTTGTGTTATAAGTTTCTGTGAGGGAGCTTTTAGAGGCATTAACCTCAGACGTCTGGTTCATGTCACCACCATTGTGAACAATTCTGATTTGGTAAGTTTCTTTAGAATGAAGCATTTTACGTTAAACTACTCTGGATGAGTTTGTTTACATCATTTAATTATGATGAATTTTTGAAAAATCGCTGGAATTTCCCTTTAAAGTAAGCACTTACTGATAGTAGAGTAGCCGCAATAGTAGCTATTATAAATGGGAGATAAAAATACTGTGACGGAGCCACTACTGTTTTCCTTTGGCCTTAGATTAGTCCAGGAAAACTGCAGAAGACCCAGGCTTATATATCGGTTTGTAATTTGAAACAGGCGGTGCTGCTTTGTGTTTGATGGCTGTAATTAACGTATTATTGTTTGGCCATAGGGGCAGTGAATTGAACCCCCAGCTGAAACAGATGTGTTTTGTCCAGCTAATCTCTTCAGCCTTCACTACGGCAATTCAATTAGGACACTAAACCTGAAAGGTTGCTGTTCCATTAGGAGAAGAGTTGTTCAGATTGACGTGGCTAAGAACAGGCCTGAGGGAATTTGTGCACTGGGGACGAGACTATCAGATTATTAAAGGGATAGTTTGCTTAAAGATGCAAATGTGGATAGCAGTGAAAGAAAGCTTGTGTTGACTGGTTATGATTATCTCACTATCTTAATCTTATTATCTCATTTAACCCTGCTGTTTTCAATCTAAAGGCCCAGAATTTCTGTAAAGACTGAATAAACAAGGAGAAAATAAGAACAACACAATGTTTATTTATTCGTGTGCATGTCTGGTATTTTGTACATAGCTTTGATAGATTTGTAGGCAGCTGATACCAGCAGAAAATGCTAGATCAGATATTGAATGAACAAAAGAACGAATCTTGTTAGGTTGTATAACAAATCCAGCCAAAATTAATGACTAGTATGACAACATAACACAAAGTGAAGTGGGTGATGTGATAACAGAAGGCATATGAGCTCTAATGTTAATATGAAAAACCATCCAGTTTTGCAAGCCTATCAGCAGAGTCTGCTGCTTTTCACTGCAAAACATAACTACATTTTCAGGGAGACACCATTTGACTGATTGGCCAAACAACCAGTCGCAGCTGTCTGTTTTGGTGCAGCATATAATAGGAGGCAATTCTGAAAATCCTGTGGATATATCTTGTTCGAAAATGCTTGCTAAATGCTAAAATGTCCAGTGCAGAATTTTGCTGGAAAAACAAAACTTTGTTTCCCATCTGAATGATAAAAAAATGCTGCAAGCAAGTGCGTATACATGGACATACGAATGGCCAATCAGAATGCAACTGACAGCATCCTGATAGTTGTGGCCAGATTTGTGTGCAAAAGATATCAAACACTCTGTTTCCATGTGGGCAGAGCGTCTTAGACATGCTTTGTGAGAATACTTCACTTTTTTAGATGGAAGTGCTTCAGTCAAAGTACCTCATTTTAAAACTTTGTAGTTTTTAAAGCTCACATTTACACTTGAGGTCCACTTATACATTTCCACTACATTTATGTGGTTTTATGTACAAAAAATGGCCATAATTGATTTTTACATGACCTCTTTTAAACAGGCTGTTTTTGTTCCTGAGCCTTTAAAACAAATATATGTAAATAAGCTCTGTTCTCACAAGCTCTATTCTGTCCTGTATTGTCCCTCATTCAGAAAGCAGTCCTCATAACACTCCTCATAACTTCAGTGGGAAAGGGCAAAGCTAAACTGCAGTAGCCTGAATATGTGGATGTAGAGGAGGTGGTTCTCATGACATCACAGAAAAGATGAATTCAAAAACAGGCCATGAGTTCTTCAAAGGAAAAATACAGAATTGATATCAGATTAAGATCAAGAACATCAAGAAGAACTTTGTCATCTCAACCCTACACTAGTGTACACTAGAACAATGAAACAGTATTCATCCAGGGTCTTTGTTGAAGTCAGAAAAACATACACTGATGAGCCAAAACATTATGACCATCACAGTTGAAGCAAATAACATGAATTATCTCATAATGTCAAAATCTGAGATATATTAGATAATAAGCAAACAGTCAGTTCTACTAATCGATGTGTTGGATGTGGGAGAAATGGGCAGGTGAGAAGACCAGTGCAACTTTGTCACTTGCTGTTTGTCCCACTTTGGCAGGCCATAACGACTTGTTCCTTCTCAGAGTGCTGGTCACCCAAGGTTCATCGATCCATGAGGGCAACAAAGGCTATCCTGTCTTGTCCAAACCGACACAATGTGGTGCAAGTCACAGAAATTTTGAATGGTGGGTACTGAAGGAATGTGTCACAACCCACAGTGCATCGCACCCTGCAGCGTATGGGACTGCATAGCTGCAGACCGTTCAGAGTGTTCATGTTAACCTCTGTCCACTGCCGAAAGCACTACATTGGGAACGAGAGCATCAGAACTGGACCTTGGAGCAATGGAAGATTGCCTGGTCTGTTGAATGATGACCGATGACTTTTACATCACATGGACGGCCGGGTACGTGTGTGATGTTTACCTGGGGAAGTGATGGCACCAGGATGCACTGTGAGAAGAAGGCAAGCTGATGGATGGAGTGTGATGCTCTGGATAGTGTTCTAGTAGGAAACTCTGCATCCAGGCATTTATGTGGATGTCAGTTTGACACATGCTACCTACCTAAACATCATTGCGGACCAGGTACATCCCTTTATGTCAGTGGTTTCCCCGATGGCAGAAGCCTCTTTCAGCAGGATAATGCGCCCTGCCACACTGCACACAGGAATGGTTTGGGGAGCATGATGAAGAGTTCAAGGTGTTCTCCGAATTTCAATCTAATTGAGCATCTGTGTGCTGGAACAGCATATCCAGTCCGCAGAGTGTCCACCTCATGACTTGAAAGACTTAAGATCTGCTGCTAAAGTCTTGGTGCCACATACCATAGAGCACCTTCAGAGGTCTTGTAGAATCCATGCCTCGGTGGATTGGAGCTGTTTTGGCAGCATGTGAAAACCCACAGCGTATTAGGCCATAATGTTTTGGCGCATTGGTTTAGATTACAAGTAGTGCAGTTAGGAAAGTCAGTGTGGGACAGTTGGAGATGGCACGATACCACTTTCTCTTTTCTGATATTGATATTGACACATTGAGTTTCGACTGATACTAAGCTTTAAAATGAGCTATTTTTAATTGAAGCATTTCACTTAAGATGAGCATCTAAAGGTAGACCATCAAGCTTAAACTCAGTCTACTTCCCCACAGGAAGAAATGCGGAGCAAAGAACAACATGTCACACAATGTTAATGCATTTACAAATATCAGCATAACATTATATTATAATCCAGAATGTAATGAATAGTCCTTGACTGGTCAATGTTGACGGTGTAGAGAAGGTGGTGCTAGTGTGAGAGTGAGGGTTGAACAGTGTTTATTAAGTCACCTGATGCTTCGGTACTGGTATTGTTATCAGAATAGGAAAAGTGGTATCATACCATCCGTAATAGTTTCTCTTTTATCCTCTTAGTTTTTTTTGTTGTTTTTAGGACATTATGAAGAGCAACATGATTTGATTAACTGTGTGTCCACATTGCTGTACTGTTTTATTGTGTCTGTGCCAGGTGTGCTGGTGTACCGTGTGTTCAGAAATGAGAGTAAGCGCTCAGTGAAGATTCTCCATGCTCTGCTACACATGATGGCCCTCATTATCAGCATTGTGGGTAAGACCTGCATATATGTATGTACATGTTTAAACAAACAGAACTGAGGATCGGTCTCTATTGTATTTGGTGTCTGATCCCGCTTTTTGCTTTAGTTATGCTGAAGAATACACCTTGGTAAGAGAGAACAGCAAAACCCACTGCAGATCAGCAACAAATGATCATTATTTGAATATGTAAGGGTCTAAAAATGCAACAGTGCATCGATCTTAAGATGGCAAGTCAACAGTGCATTGATTTTAGAATGTTAGAATCGATTATAATCAATAATAATCAATAATGATAAGAATATTCAATAAAGTATAGTGACTATAGACATCAATTTTTGGAATGTTAGAACCAGTTGTAATCAATTACCGTAATACTCAGTAAAGTATGCCCACATTTTTTGGCCAAAACACAATTCTTGGGCTGTTTTCAAACACAAAAAACAAAAAAACAGCATAGTGTATTGTTTTCATTATCTTTTCTTCACTACTGTGTAAATCTTTCCACTAATGTGTAAATCTGTTTGTTCATACAGTCAGATTTGTATACATAATGTCTCAATCATGCCAAAATCTTAATTTAGAGTTTAAGGTTTTAAACTTCAAATGTGAGATCTCATGAAGTGTTTAATGGTTTCCTAAAAAATCATACTAGGAATGAATTGTAGTGAAATTTGAATGTCAAATGAGTGTAAATGTGAGATTTACACTCATAGTGAATATAACAACAGTGTACTGATGTTGTTGATGTCTCTCCTCAGGGTTGGTGGCAGTGTTTGATTACCACAATAGCTCTAACATCCCTAACATGTACTCTCTGCACAGCTGGTGCGGCATGCTGACCTTCGTACTCTTCTTCCTGCAGGTGAGCTGCTCCTGGCCTCTCCATAAAGCCTTAGCTATGCCTGAACATCCACACACCTGCTCCTCAGTACTGTGATAAACAACATGATTAGCTTTATTGAGCATATCATGGGTATCACTACTTAAAGACATACCTGAACTCAAAACTGAACTGTGTAAATAAATTAAATAAAACAACATGTGTACTATTTATCAGACAGAAATGTAAAATGTTCCAAGGCTCTGGGCAAAGACAGTATGTCTGATTGGATGCTTCAGATAGATTTCCTTCTTTTTGTTGTGCAGCACCACAAAATTTAAATGTTGCAGTTATAAAAAGCTCTTTATGCATGTTTACACTGAAACCAGTCTTCCACTATGCCTTCCTGTGCAGTGGCTGCTGGGCCTGGCCTTTTTCCTGTTCCCCTGGGCGTCCACTGTGCTGCGGAGCTGGTACCTGCCACTGCATGTCTTCTTCGGCCTGGTGCTGCTGGCCATGGCTGTGGGCTCCTCCCTCATGGGCATCACAGAGAAACTGCTCTTCAGCAGCCAGTGAGTGCCGCCATGCTTTTTAATTACAGTAATAGTTTGGCCAGAAATCAAATGTACACATTTTCCCTCTCACCCAAAATGCACTCGATCTGCCAAGACATGTTTGTCTGATGTTGCTTTTTTTAGTTTTGCACTAGGGGCGAATGTTTTTATCTGTACTTCTTTCCATTTTTATAGATAACAGTATGTCACAGGAGTCGCAAACCACATAAGCCAGTCTGTTTGAGGTTGCTTAACAAATCAGTGAAGTTTGATGCAAGTTTGAGATGATTTAGGCATGTAGTGGCACAAATGTAAGGGATGAAAATTAGTATTTTTCGCAAGACTGCTTTGATTCCTGGCCGTAGGGCTACTTTCCACTGCACGATTTGTTTGCTGTTGCTGCTCTGAGTCAACTCAGAGAGATTGGTAATTCAATAATGAGATGACTCAGGTGTAGAATAGCTGAGAGAGCAGTAAAATATGAAATACAGGATGTAACTTGAAAGGAATATTTGATCAAAAATGCTAATTTTGCTAAAGATAACCTCTATTTACAAATTAAAATATAGTAGATAAGTTATTAAATAAGGTTATTATTGAGTAGCTACTATTAAATATGTAACACAGTACTATGCAAAAGTCAAAAACCACCCTTCATTGATAATGTCCATTCAAAACAGCAATAGCAAACAGCAGATAAGTTGTTCATTTTTCAGGAGATGTTTCTGAGGGGGTTAGATATAAGATAATCCACTTGCATAAGGAAGAGGAAAGTCAAAGGGAAAATAATGAAAAACAGGAGTTTCAAAAAAACAGATAACCTAATACATCCTGATAGACCACCAAAACTGTCTCCATCAGATAACCAGCACTTAAGTCGTTCATATTTGAGAGAGAGGAGAAAATCAAGCTCCACTGTGGCATCTGATCTAAAAAGAATCAACAGGTGTTTCTGTCCATCCTTCTGCTATGACTAGGCAGCTCAGCTCAACTCATGTGTAGCTGTCAAGAAGCTCTTATTGAAAAGAGAAAACAGACAAAAAAGAAGAAACTTGTAGATCAAACAAAGAAACTGCTGGTGTTCTCAGATCAATGGAGTCTAGACCTCAACATCACTGAATGTTTGAGAAGCAGAAAATACAACCAACTTCTAAAACTGAATTTTGGAGGGGTGGAAAAACATCCCTGCAGATTTCTTTGATGAACTGAAAGCAAGTCTCCCAAATGAAAGAATGAAAGATGTAATGAAGGCAACGAGTGGACACAATAAATACTGAAAATGTGATATTATTCAGTTGTTAAGGCTTCTTTGTAATTTACTGTAAAGTATGTTTTCTGCTTTTTTACTGAAAAACGAATAAGATGAACTTAATGGCTTTGACTGGAAATGAACTAAATGAAAGGTGGTCTCTAACTTTTACACAGTATTGCTTATACTGAAGATTAACATTCTCAGTTACAGCCTTCTCATATTATAGACAGCTCTTAGGTGCTAGCATTACTAGCTTTATTCAGCAGTAGGAGTAATGAAGCTTCAAAAATCAGTAAACAGTGTGCTCAGTATCCTAATCTACTGGAGATCAGATTTGGCCTGCGTTAATTGAGTATTAAAGGATTAATATCACAGCTAGTCTGACATACGCCATCATTAATGGCCTCAGTTATTTAGAACAGCTTGAGTCATCATAGTCAAAGCTCTAAATGAAAGCTCCAAAACACGCTTTAGAATAAAAACGGATTGGCAAATCACTTCAGCAGAGCCAAGAGTATCCTAGTGCAGCCTTGTTAGGAGAGTGAGTCACTGTGCAAAGTGAGTCACCGTGCTTTTCTATGCTTCATGATTAACTATATTCTGCTTCCTTTCTGCATCTTGGCTGCGCACAGATGCAGTGTATACTGTTTTATTCTGTGCAGCTGTTTTACTTTGGTTGATGCACCCATTAAAAGCACTGATCAGCAGTGTAGCCTATGGCTTTGTGTGCCAGGAACTGCCTAAAATTTACCTAAACTTGCAAATAAATTAAAGCGATGACAAAATTTTATTTCTATACAAGCCTCTAGAAACGCATCAGCTTACAAAAAAAAAAACAATGCTCTTACCGAGCACCTTTTGAATTTGTTTATTTATTTTTTAGCCACTCGCTGTCCACTCTATTAGCCACTTCTACCTTGTTGGTCCACCTCGTAGATGTAAACTCTAGCTCATCTGAGCACAGTTTCTGTTGGTCATCCTCTAGTCTTTCATCAGTGGTCACAGGACAGGATATTTTTGGTTAGTGGACTATTCTCAGTCCAGCAGTAACACTGAGGTGTTTAAAAACTCCAGCAGCACTGCTGTGTCTGATCCACTTGTACCAGCACGACACACACTAACATACCACCACCACATCAGTGTTACTGCAGTACTAAAAATGATCCACCACCCAAATAGTACCTGCTCTGTGGTGGTCCTGTGGGGGTCCTGGCCACTGAATGTAAAAGGGGGCTAACAAAGTATGTAGAGAAACAGATGGACTACAGTCTATAATTGTAGAACTACAAAGTGCACCCAAGTGGAGCTGATAAAATGGACTATGGGTGTAGATACAATGTAAGTGTATGTAATAAAGTGTACACAGAGTATATTCAAATGCAATGGCCAACAATTTGGACAACAAGATTATGGATGGGCATTTAAGCTATTTTTGCTATTGAATATCAACATTTTGATTTGATTCACATTTCAAACTGATATTTGGTGACGTAGTTATGCAACTTAAGAGAAGCAGAATGTTTAGGTGAGACTGGGTTACTGTATTTGTACAGAAACCATGCAGAAATAGATCTTATATTTTTCGGTAATGCTAATTCAGGTGGATTTTGTTCCAGTTTCTATAAACTCAATTCCAAAAAAAAGTTGGGCCAGCATGTCAAATGCTAGTGAAAACAGAAAGCAGTGATTAGTAAATTCTGTTTGAATGGTATTAATTGAAAACAGTACAAAACCACAATATTTGATATTTTAACTTTATTTTTTGTGCGTATATGCTCATTTACAAATTACTGTCCCAGCTTTTTTAGATTTGGGTTTGTACATTTTATAAATGTTTATGCATCAGCATCAGCATATACATAGCCTAAAAATACTGGACCAGCATTGGCCCATGGTTCCCAAATCCGTGAATCCCTAAAAAAAATACAAAGAGCTAATATAAGGAAATTTGACAGATTTTTCATGTTTTTGTTTGAAATATTTTCATATACAGCAGAGCTTAGACATCACCATTTAACTTAACGTGACACGCAATATCAGCTGTTCGTATGCTCTCGAAGTTTCTGCTTCACATGCTGTTAATAAATCATTTACAAATGACAAGATAATTAACTTTTTTCCCTCAGACTACACACACCTTATTTGAATTCCTGATTAGCTAAATGAATACTAAAGTGAGTTCAGATAGTCATATATTTAAAGAACCACAAACATCCCTTGTCTAGATCTTTACCAGTAAATATTTGTTTTTTAAAATCTGGCAGCATCACATTGACATTTAAAGCGGAGTTGCACTGACTGTGATGTCTCTCCTGTTGCTTTAGATCCTCATCCTCTAAGTTAGCTCCTGAGGCGGCTCTGGCGAATGTTCTTGGCCTGCTGCTGGTATGTTTTGTGATCCTGGTGGGCTACGTGGTGAGCAGAGAAGAGTTCCGACGGCCCCCGAACCCCGAGGAAGAGGCCCTGTCTGTGCACTTTAACACCCTCGGTGAGGGCTCCGGCCCAAGCTCACCATAACACAGCAGCCATGGAGACGCCACACAATGCCCTCTACTCTTCCCCAGGTTTACTTTCTAGCCTCCACCTTTCAGCCCCCACACTCCTCAGTTCCTCTGGACCAGACTGTGTCCTCAAAATTCCAGCCAGGAATCACTGTAACCACGGGGTCAGTTTTGTTCCACAAGACCAAGTAAAGCATACGTTCACTATGCTCTCCTTCAGTAACTGAGCAGTTTTGTCAAGTTTCTGATTGGCTGTTTAACATGATTAACAAGCGAAAGACAGCTGGTCATTCTCGGTCCACACTTGCAGTTTGTGGGTTTGCTTGAGTGCACACTAACATGATGTATTCACGACTTTACTCAGTGCATAAGCACTGGTTAAGACCATGAATATATATTTTACCATTGTTGGACATTAATGTTCTTCGCTGGTATTTTCAAAACAGCATGTTATAACGCCACAAATGCACAGTGTTGGGCAAACTACACAAATCCAGTACTTGAGTGAAAAATAGTAAAGGTATACATGCTCTATTTATATTCTTACTTGCATTCATGTACAAAAGTACTTGCTTTTAAATATATGTAAGTATGAAAAGTAAAAGTATTCTTAGCTAACAATGTGTCCTCTTGGGTCTTTTTAGTTTAAGAAGTGGGTAAAATTTTACCCCTCACCCTAACTCCTGGGATTTTGGCTATCTGATTTAAAAATGTTCTGCACAACTACATGCCATTTTCTTTAACTGTGAGAGCTTGTCAAAGTTGCCTGGGCCTAGTTACTGTTGCTAAGCTACAATTGGATGTTCTGCATTTAGGGGAGGGATTTAGTGCAAGATGTGCTATGACTGGTTGGCCAAAAATCGGTAGGATTAAAAAATAGGATAAAAAAGGAGTGAAAAGTAGGATATTTTACTGTGACTTGTAGTAGAGTGAAAGTATCAAAAAAATGAAAATACTTGACAAAAGTACTTCAGTACAGTAATGAAGCGCATGTACTTTGTTACTGTCCACCACTGCCAACCCACTGAACTGTGACATATTCACTTAACCCTATAAGGCTTCGATCTGGTATTCAGGACAGTGTGCATTTAGTATGGTCTTGTGCACTGCGCTTTTGCAAATTTGCAAAAAAATTGTGTTATGGGACACACTCGCAACACTTGCTGTAAAAGAATGTGAACATGCACGCAATTACACAAAACTGCAAGTGTGAACTGACAGGCCAAATGTTTTGGTCTCCTGGAAAACAGACGGATAGAGGCTGCTACCAAGTGCTGTCTAACACTGCCCCCTTGTGTGTAAGGAAAGTCATTACAGGGTAGCTTTTACCGCAAAGAAATATAATTTGAAATAGTATGCCTATTTTTCTGGAATGCAAATAAATCTCCCAGGTTTCTGTCCTAAGACTGTAGTAGGTGTTACTGCCAAACTGACCACTGCTGTATTAGTTTTCAGTTGCAGACAAGGTGCATTGGTACTGTGTGATCTCCAAGATACATACATGATGTCCAGACGTCTGTAAATGGTGTTGCTAAATGAAAATATTATTTCAGATTGTTATTTTAAAATGACCGGGCACGCGCTATGCCAAATAATTACGTGCCTTCCTTAATATTTATTAGTGCCATATCGGGCTGAGAAACTAGAACTTACTTGAGAAAGAAATAAGGTTTGCTGTTCTGAGTCAAAGGAAATCACATTCAATGATTCCTGTGAAACCTCATTATGCAGAAGTGTCTAATATAACAGGCTTGAACCATGTTAATATTTGCTGATTCTGAGTTTTGCATGCCACTAACAGTTTCCTCCATGTTTATGTGCTTTATTTAAAACTATGTAAGAAGTGTTCACTGGCTGTCCAAACCAAAACCTCAAGTGCCACACACACTATTCCACAGCGTAACGTCAGTGTCGCAGCTTTAATATCAAATATCAAATGAGTGTTACGTTGAACTGTTGCTACTGTCTTGTTTTGCACTGTGCTGTTGTTTTAATGATTGATGACTGAACATAAATCCTAATATCAACATGATCTTCACTTGAAAGTCTTAGAATGGAGAGAATATATGAATGAGTATGTATTCCATTCTTGCACTGTATTCTGCAGTCATTGTCGTGTTTAACTGTATCTGTTTTGCACTAATAGTACACATTATTCAAAAAGCTGTGTGTCTGCTGGTTTTGTGTAATGCTGTCTTAAGTAGTGACATTAAAAGAGCTTCACTTGGCTTGTGCCAAGTTTGAGTTCCTTTGTGCTGTGTTTGCTTTGTTCTTTTGCATCATGTCTTGTTCTCTCTACAATATCACTACAATATCACAGGGGAGTTCCACCAATTTTTCAAACTTGCTGCATAATTCAACAGTTGAGATGTACACACAGTCTTTCAGACTGGTTTTAGAGAAATGTACCAAATTGTCAGAATTGTCAACAATGACGGTGATGGGAACCAGAAATCTGAAGAGTTTAATGCCTTTTAAAGCTTCCTCACAGAAAGTTGTTACATGAAATGATTATAAATACACGGCCTGATACCTGACAGATGCTTAAAATAGTACCCAAAGAAAACAATGTTTCCATATCAACTAAAGCGACACATGTAGGTTCACCGGTCATTTTGGCTGTATCTATGTTGTACACTTCAACCTCTGGTTCTTATGACCACTATCGTTAAAGGAGAACGTTTAGATGAGAGGTTTAGATGTAAAAAAAACATTGTAGTACTAGGAACCAGACGTCATGTCCACACTATAAATATCACCATTTTATCTGCTATCCAAAATGACTAGTGAACGTACATGTCTTATACGTTTTTATATGGCACGCTGATAATGGTAAAATACTGCTGAATTCGAGAAAAAAAAAAAAAAAACGTTTTCTTTGGGTACTATTTTTTCCCTGCATGTACCCCTCCGCCATGCACGCGTTTTGTGTTTTCTCCAGTTGCCGTTATAAGTACCAGAAGCTGTGGCTAATTGTATTAAAGCTACATAGAAACACCAAAGTCAAACAACTTTACCGCCGAAGACTAACTAACTTACTCAACACCAGTGAAAAATGCAAAGCGGATTTCTTCAACTGCCGGCTGCTAAAGAAAACTGCTGTTCCCTCTGTTGTATTTTCCACCACAGAAACTGGAATCAAGGTAAGAAACATGAATGAAATAAATTAGCCACCGTACACACAGTGTTAGCCATTAGCTTACAACAGGCTGTCTACAGTAGGCCGCGCAATAAAATAACGGTCCTACCTCAGAAACCGGTGAGCAGAGTAACAAGTCGTTTGTTGTTACCACCGGTTTTCATTCGCTCTGGGTTGTTCTGACGAATTATGCTAACTACCTTGTTGAAATGTCCTACCATACCGCATATTTTACGAAGCGCTCTACATAAAACTGTACTAGGATGTTCTGATGGCCTAAATTATCCTGACAGAAAATGCTACCTGAACTGAAATCTATAGATACAATAATTTGATAGCCTAAATCTCCTTATCAGTTAAATGTTGCCAGCATTAAAAGAATAATTAGGATGTTGTGATCGCCTAAATCACAGTATCAGGGAGTAAGTAATAATATTAATCGCAGTATGCACTGAATTAACGTTAAAAACACAACAAAGCGTTTGAAACATTAAATTACTACGCTATAGTAATGATATGCGCATGCTCAGTAGGACCGCTCGATGGGTAGGACAAATTGATAGAACACCGGCGGGTTCGGGTTCGGGTTCTGTCTCTCTCTCTGTCGGCTCAACACTGTACAAACGGACTCCTGAAGTCCGCTGCATACTCTTCCATCTTCCGAAATATGTAAGAAAACCGTAAAAATAAACTGTAAACGAAAGCTGCTGCTGGCGTTAGTCGTGCTGAACGGCTGTAGCTACAGGCTCGTAACAACAAAAGCAGTTTAGCTGAAGCGCACTGATCTGTTGAGATCGCGGAAGTGGTCCTGGAGTAATAGTTCATCCTAAAATACGTTTTAAGCCAAACATTTATAACAAAACTATCACAAAACAATGTCTGAGGTATCAGGCAACACATTCTTAACCATTTTGTGGAATGACTTAACGGGATGTAGCTTTTAGAGCCGTTAAATACTTCGGACGTCTGGTTCCTAGTACTGTAATGGTGACCAACCCTGACTCTGTAAATTTCTCTAGAAAGATGCTTTTCCTACCGAACCACTCTGAATGGTTTTGTATACATGTGAACCATTGAATGAGTAATTTTGCAAAATCTTTATGAAATCCGAGTTGTTGTGCACTAGAACAGATCATTTTGCCTGATTTGTTTACATCTCAATGATTTTATTATGCAGATATTTTGAAACATCGGTGGCATTCCCCTTTAATGCTGAATGATTGTTATGAACTGATGAATTACCTTAGAATCACTTTGTTCATTAAGACTGAACACGTAACCCTGAATAAAACAAGACACGCACACCAATACTTTTCATTTCAGCTGGAGTTTCCTTGTACTGGTAATCGTTTTAAATTAGTACATTATTTTCCCCTTACATACAGTTGATTGTACAGTTTACAATCGTTAACAGGGTTAAAAATGCATTCATGTTGGCTTTGCTCTCCACAAAACGTCTCCACTCTGACCGTTTACAGAGAATGCTGTTCATAACAAGCCCGAGTTAAAACAGAATCCAAATAAAAATAAATGTTACAAAATCAGAAAACAAAACAAATTGATGTGTTATTTCTGTCCGAATGTGGGGAAAAAGGAAAAAAGATTGTGCCACAGTCATTTCCCCGCTCTATATATTGATAAATCAAACCTTTCACACATACATACATACATATACACACACACACACACACACACACACACTTCAGAGTGTGTCAGCAAAGAGCATGCACTCTAATTAAGCACAATATATACAGTCATTTACAGGTCAGCCATACAAAAAGAAACAAGTCTTCAAAAAGCAACATCGTCTACAGTAAGCTGAGTTCAATGAGTGAGAAAAGCCCCGCCCCTTTTCCACAGCAGTTGAAAGTGATTAGCTAAATTAGCCAATGAATTTGAATTTGCCCAGCTCCAGTTTTTGTATCAGAGTTACCAATTGGCGTCGAACTCTGGAACAATGAGGTCCAGCAAGGTTCCTGGACTGTGTCTGGCTTATGGCTGGAGCCACCATGAAACAGAAACGATTCAAATAAATAGTCATCTGTTTTATGAACAGCTTCTCAGTGAAGGATGCAAAGCTATTAGTTAACCTATGTGAAAGAAGTCAATACGAAAAGGGGTGGAGCCAATAATAATAAAAGAGAATTACAGAAGTGGCGTCCTGCTGAGAGTCAAAAATGAACGTTAACTGCAGCACAGAATGTTCTCCACAGTCTGTTCCCAAGAGCACACTATTTATAGCGAAATTGCAAATAATAAACCCAATGTGGATGAACTCCTGATATATTTCACACTAAAAATTATCTTTTACACCATGAGTGTCATTTTAATGACATGAACTTTCTGAGATGAGAATTACGGAAGCAGTCATGTTGTATCCAGAGATGAATGCCCTGAATGTTACATGACCTCCTTTAAGAAGAGGTCAAATGAATTTCTTAGTCACAGCATATGTGTTTCCATTTTTATACTTTTATATTTTCAGCAAAGCTGTAATTGTGTTAAATGAGCAGGTCAATTCTGAACCAAAATGCCCTTAAAAAAAAAATTCACATTACTGACCCATCAGGAGCAAGAAGCAAACTTAAAAATCACAACAAGAGCATCAAAAGCAAAATAAAGTATGTATATCTTTTTTGTACAAACATAAGTTAAAATGATAAATATTACATTGTTTTTTGTTTTTGATTAAGCTATGTACATGTTTGATAGGACGACCTTTTACAGCCATATCTACAAACGAGGCCACTTGGTGTTCCTCACAGGTGGCCTCTGGGAAGGACTAGCGTTGATGTTCAGATCAGATAGCAGGCTGACCAACACCACGGCGAAGTCTGAAATGACTCCCTCTACATGGGGCAAGACTCACACCCATACTGTCCACTGATTACTCACAGTGTTCTTTGTATAAAGCACTTTCTAAGGGGTGCCTGTATGCATTATAGAAATAAAAGACTACCTCGCATTTAGCCTTGAGGGACTCCCTGCCACGACCTTGAAGGGCATTCTGATTCTCAAAAGGTTTGAGCGAAGTTTCTACAGGCAGCCTCTGTACAAAAGTTTAAAAAACTTTAGCTCTCAGATTGCACCATTACCACACAAGATAAGTATTTTCTAGCCAGCGTTAGCTATTTATGATTATTTTATCGTTGCCTCTATATGCTGACAGCAAATTGTTTCAGTAAAGTCTCTTGAAATTAAAGAAAATGCTAGCCAACATCAATGTTGGCTTACCATACTCTGCTAACACAGCTAGTTAGCTAGGTGTAGCATGTCTGTTACTTTAAGCTACCTAGTGCACAAATTAATAACTTCATATTGCAAGTGGGGTTCAAAAAGCGTTAGCTATTTAGCAAATGACCTTGTGTTAAGTATGTAGCATTATTATGTATTATGTATTACATAATATGTATTACAGTATTATGCAGAGTCAAAGCTACGCAAGATGGAGGGGAAGTTGGTGGCAACAAGAAATGGAATTGAGAGAAGAGGTAAACAGATTCATTTGCACTGGTCATTTAGGCCACCATGTCAATGATTCTCAAGGCCAAAACTTTTATTTTTTGTAGTTTTTAAAAATTTGTAGGGATGCATCAATGCCTTTTTTTCAGACTGAGTATGAGTACTTTGAGCACCCGTTGATACCATACTGAGTAACCTATTTCGAATTAAGCAGTCTTTTGATTGGTTGAGCTGTAGCTGAATGTCTTCAAAAGCCAGACCATATTGATCTTGGGCAACTCACTGTATGTTTGAATAGGCTATCGTATACAAAGCCTATGATTTATGTGCTCACGCTGTATGAAAATGCTCGGTCTGACAGACATGAAATGCAGCCTGTACAGACAGCTCTGGACAATTTCCATTAAAGCTGTTTCATTCAAGATAACACGCTGCACACCGAGTACTGAGCAAACATGCTGATAAACTGAGCTACAGCAGCTCAGCTAACCTCACCTTGCACGGAAATATACACATTAGGTCACTATGGTCTCTCTACAGTGTATTTTACAAAGACAGATTAAAAAAGTCGACATTAACGTTGATACCTCGTAGTTCTATTGAGTTAAACAGAGTAATGTCAGCATTTAGCCAGCCTATGTATCTCCACTCGTATTGGGGAAGTGGCTGATTGTTTTTGTGTGTTTAAAAACGGTCTAAAATCAGCAATTTTGCGTCCAAACTCCACATGGTCAGAAACATGTCACTCTGTGAACAGACCCTTGTTCGCTGCCAGCTTGAGTCATTTGTTCACTAGTGTGGCAGTGTACATTAGGCTTATGTCACATGGTATCAGGTGGTATCGGATGTTGGTATTGGTATGGTTTTTGAGGTCGAGTACGAATATATAACCAAAGTTTCAGGTCGATACCCGATACCAGCATCGGCATTGATGCATTCCTAGTAATTTTATATTGCATTTAAAATGAACAAACATGCTTTAGTACCAAAGATGGCACCAATCAGGTGTTTCTTTGGAAAAAGAAAATGTTCAAAACTTTAAAACATTAATGAGAACGCTGCCATGTTAGCTATAGCGGTGATTACAGATGGTGAATTCTGACTAAATCTGATTTGAGACAGGTCTTTGTCTGACCACACAGTCTCTGGATCTTGTACGGGAGGGTGAAAAGCAATGGTTTTACTAATAGTGGTGAATATGTGTGAAACGTGTAATAATTCGACGGGTCTGGTGGTGAGCTTTAGCTTGTGGCCCCTTTTGGACATAAAGCATAGTATATTGTGTATGAGTGGACTACAGAAAGTAGGGAGCCACTTCTGACTGAGCCTTAAGCCACTTTTTCACTTCATGTATGGCTCGACTCAACTCGACTCTACTCGTTTTGGGTACCAGCTACTTTGTTTTCCACAGCAGATTAGAACCCTCTCAATGTAGCGGGTTGTCATAGTGACGCCGCATGAAACTGCTGAGACGTGAAGGAGGTGAATTTTTGTTCTGAAGAGGCAGATATCAGCAAGATAATATACTGCTGAAAAAACAGCACAGTTTGGGAAATACTACATCAGAGTTCAGACGATGAGATGGTTTTGGTTTCTCAAAGGCGACTCAAGAGGCTACGCTAACCTTGTAGCTAGTGTTAGCATGTGTGGTAAGCAATTCTCTCTGACTAATTAGTAGTCTAGCATTTCTACTTCACCTTTTGGTATCAGCTCAGCTCGCTTGGAACCTCGACGGAGGTGGTACCAAAAATAATACCTGGTACCAGGTATGAGATTTGCCTAGTGGAAAACCAAAAATAGCAAGTATAGTAGAGTCGAGTTGGTACCGTGCTGTGGAAAAGTGGCTTTAGTGAGATCCAGGCCCTGCAACAGCACTTTCAGAGCAATGGCAAGCTGTTGAGACTCTAGCCCACCAAAGGAGGTTCAGAGAGCATTAATTTGGTGCTAGGAATGCACCCATACTATTTTATTTCACTGCTAACACAGACTCAAATTTTCTGATACTTACACCAATGCAATTTTTTGCTTTAATCGCTCTGTAGTCCTGCATATGGAAGCGTCGTGCTTTATAACAGTCACTCTTGTCCACCAAAGACTGCTCACATCTGTCTTATTGATACAGGTACTGGTATCTGTTCATCTTTAGTTGGTGTGCAGCAGTTACAGCCATCTGGTCCAACCGAGGCACCTGAGGCGTCCTGCATGTCCCAATCACTTGCTGTGTTATGTCCAGAACAGATGCTTTTACAGCACTGCCGTTTACCTCCCTTCACACACTCAGAAGGTCAATATATTTAGCTTTAGGCTATGTTTACACCAGAGGAAGGGGAAAACAACAATAGGCTTTGTATGTGTGCCTATAGTTCCAGTGGAGCTGGATTAGTTTTACCTGAGGTGTTTGTGTAACTTAAGTGATTACCAACAAAATCCATGACGTTCAGTCCAGACTATCTGTGAGAATTTGAAGAAATGACACAGATACTATGTCCTGTACCAATCAACCAGTCAAATCCCCCACAGCCTCCTCTGCTAAAACTATTCCAGCTCCAATAGTGCTTATGTTTTTAGGTTCTTCATTCATGTCCTAGTATACATTAACACGCTGTCCCAGGCGGTCTCACACATTTGACTCGACAAAGGGCCTCTTTGGTTTGATGGGAGAGGTTGGACCTTGGCGGTCGCCACGGCCCACCTGCCTATACTCGCTGTCCTGGTAGGCCTGGGCCACCGGCAGCGTCCGGGCCACTTTAACGTCTGGGTAGGTGGGCGCCTGGCTGACCCGTCCCATGTTGTCGGCCCTGTCCCGACCCACATAGTAGTCATCCTCGGCCAGGTGCCCATTGTGGGCGTTGTTGGTGCGGTTGTAATAGGCAATGTGGCCAAGGGACTGCTGCCCATAGCCTGTGTTGCCAGGTGATGTGGCCGGACTGCTGACCACTGTGTCTAGGGACGAGACAGCCCAAGCACGGGAGGATGAAGAGGAAGGGGCCAGCGATGAAGGCTGCTGCTGCATGTACTGTTGAGTTCGTGCCGTCTTGTCTATGATGCCCATGAAGGGCGTAGCCCGTGATCGCAAACTTTCACCTGGGTATGTGCCTCCCGCCACCATACTGGGTGGGGAAACGGGTGATGGGGCATCGCAGTAGCCACCCTCGTAGGCCAGCTTCAGTGGAATCTCCATTTGCTGCGCTGATGCTGAAGGCCTGAAGCCTGGTCCTAGATTAGCTGCAGAACCAACGGCCAGGCCCAGGCTGCTGCTGGAGGGTGAGAAGCGCAGGCCCACACTTTGTGAGTGGATCAATGGGCGAGGAGTGGGCAGGTGCGGTCTGGGTTCAGCATTGGTGGCGCTAACCGGGCGTCTCAGGGCATGAGGGTTTTCCGGTGACCCCAGCTGCGCCTGCCTCTCAATTTCATGGGGCGAGATGGGGTAATAGGCAGCAGATTGGCTGCGACTGATCTGGGGCGTCTGGCCATAGCGCAGCCCTGGAGCACTGGGTCGGTACGCAGATGATGGCCTTTGAGGAAGCTCTTCTTCCATTGTGTTGGGATCCATGCTGAGTGCCCGCGGATATAGCGCCCCCTGCAACGAAGCAGGATAGCCACCAACTTCCCCAAGCTCGTCCATGTCTCCAGGGCAACGTGCGCTCATAGAATGGGCCATCTGGCTGTAAGCACCACTGCCCAGCACAGCGCTAGAGTGGACAGAAGCGCTTGGCTGGTTGGTGCGGACAATCTGGGCCTTGGCTGGCTGCAGCCACTGGCCCTGCTGCTGCTGCTGAGGAGGAAGCTGAGCAGCCTGAAAAGAGCGCTGGCTGCTCATTTTGGAGAGAGGGGACTTGGGACGACCCGAAAGCTGCTGATCTTGCTGGTAGCGGCCCGACGAGGCAGCGGAGGCTGACTGAGGCCGGTACAGGCCCATGTTCTCAGAGGTGGAGGTAGGGCTGGAGCGGTACTGTGGCCCGGCCCGGCGTAAAGGAGAAGGAGGAGGGCTGAAGTGGTAGGAGGAAGAGGAGGAGGAGGAAGAGGGTTGATGTGCCGGGGATGTATGAGGTGGGCTTGGACGATAATGAGAGCTTTGGTGGGTGGGAGACAGGGAAGGAGAGGTGGATTGATAGCCCTGGCGGGTTGGGGAGGACATAGAGGGTGGAGTGGGGCGGAGGTCAAAGGCCTGGCCCATTGAGGGGCCTCCAGAGAGGTAGGGGGAGTCCCGGTGGCTGGGGGATGGAGGCATGATGTTCTGAATCACAGGCAAGCCTGATGGACTAGAACGAGGCTCAGCAGTGACGCCTAGTGGAAGACCATCCATATCCCGCTCCAGGTAATCCTCGTCCTCTTCAAACAGGTCCTGCACGGGCTCCATGTCTGAGAGGCGGGGCTCCAGCGGGGGAGGTGGGGCCACTGGCGGGTCTCTGTCATGGGGAGGAGGAGAAGGGGGCGGATCCAGCTCCTGTTGCTGAACAACCTGGCGACACTCTTCCTCAACGCGTTGCAGCAGGCGCTGGATCTCTCGGTTGTTGGGGCAGAGGCGCATGGCTTCACTCAGGTCCTCCAGGGCTGCGTGGAATTGCCTACGCAGAGAGACAGAGAGAGAAAGAAAGAGAGAGAGAGTGAGAGACAGAAAGAGAAATAAGTGAGAATGTGTTATATGTGTCTTGGGGATCAATAAAAACAAACAAGGCATTTATTTGAGGGACTCTTGTTTAAAAATGATTAAGTGCTGAGTGCATTTTCAAACCCACAGGCAAAACACTAAATCTTCTCAACAGAACAGCATCCAAACAAAATGAACAGGAGGGAGTACTTTGTGTGTGCCACTAATCAAAATAATGTGGAACTGTAGCAAGAAAAGAAACTCTGATAAAGAAAAAAAAAAACAGATGTGGTGAATGAAAAGTCTGTTAGGAAAAAGAAAAGAAGTTGATGTATGAAAATGAGCCTAAGATTCCTTATCCTTACAGTAAGCTCTGTTGAGACTAAGGGGCAAGTCTTTGTATGGTTTCATCCCGTTATCAAGACCAGAAACAAAAGTGGTAGTTTCAGGCCCTGCTGCCCTGCCTGTTGGTTGCTATGGTTACCTGCTGCTGCGCTTGGCGCGGGCTCGTGCGTAATAGGCCTCATAGGATTTGGGTTTCAACTCTAGAGCCCTGGAGGCAAACTCCTCCGCCATGCCAAAGTCCTGCAAGCAACAACAGGGCCAACAGTCATACACAGAGCCATACATGGAGGAATATGGAGCCAGTCACACACCCACCCACACACACACACACACACACACAAATCTCTGATTCAGTTTGATTAAGATTCTTTAATAACCAATCGCTGCACCACAAAATCTCAAATTTCACCACAAATATTCTTTTAAGTGAATACATAAATGTGTTAGGAGAACTATTTACACAGTACTGGAATATACAGTACTGTGCAAAAATCACAGACCACCCTTCATTTATTTAACCTCTGGTCAAAAAAGCTGTTAAGTACAAATAACTATTTGACAGAACCATATTTGACAAACCATATTTGACAGAAAATTGCTCTGAAGCCTCAACAAGTGAATGTTGTTTTGTCAGCATTTAGTGTGTCCACATTTTGCCTTTATTACAGCTTCCTTTTTTCCCTCTTTCCAGGAGACATGCTTCAGATTTTCAAAGAAATCTGCAGGGATATTTTTCCACAGATCCAAAGTTCAATCTTAGAAGTTGGTTGCACTCTTTGATTCCCATGATCCAAGTAGTCCCAAAACACATCACGTGATGCTGAGGTCTCGACTTTGGGATGGATCAGTCCATTTCTCTGAAAACACCAGCAGCTTCTGTGTTTGTCTTCTTTTTTGTCTGTTTCTTTTTCTCAGCGAGGGCTTCTTGACAGCTACACATCCTTTCAGATTCATAGTGTTGTCTTCTCACAGTGGAAGGATGGACAGAAACACCTGTGGATTTTTTCAGATCTGAAGTAAGAGTGGCGATTGATTTTCTCCTCTCTCTCTCTCAAAGATGAAAGCTTTAAGTGCTGTTTTTCTGATGGGGACAGTTTTGGTCGTCTGCCAGGTCTTGATTGTTGGGAGTTTCATTTTCTCTAATCATTTATTTAAATCCTGTTTTACTTTTTACTTTCCAGTTCCTTATGCGTGTGGATCTTCTCATATGTCCTCAGATATAACTTGTACTTAATGGCTTTTTTGACTGGAAATTACATCAATGAAGGGTTGTCTCTGACTATTGACAGTAGTGCAGATGATTAAAATGATACACTAAGCAAATGTTTATTGCCAAAAATTACTGCATATTTTATTGAATATTATTATAATATATAATTATAATCAACCCTATCAATCCAAAATCAGTGCAGTTGAATCGCCACCTTTGTTTTAATTTTTTAACCCCTACACACACATACACACAGTCAAAGACACATACATACACACACACACATACAATCCATCTCAATCTGGCTGTGATATCTGTGCATGAATACAACAATACCACATTAAACAGACATTTTAAACACACAAATGTGTACATACGACAAATCAACATTGAAATGTGGAAATGTTACACACTCATACACACTCATAAGTGACAGAATACACACACACACCTATAATGCTCTACGGGGACAGCTGGACAACGTAAATATTCTTTAAGACTACAAGCTAAATAATCTAGGCTAGACTCTGTTCTTTACTTAGACCTGAAAAACTCATGATCTGACAAAGCAAACCAAAACAAGGTGACAAGGATGGATGATGATGTTTGTCGACATTTGCATCAGTTTCTCTGGACAGCCTGAAATTAGTTTGATGATTTCAATGAGACTTAAAATAAACTCATAGTTCCACTAACACCCACTTCAGAAGGGGCAAGAATGCCTTTATTAGTATCACAACTACCACTAACTTGAAATAAACAGTGATTTGCATAAAAGTAAAATAAAAACCATAAAAAATGGATAATATTGGTTCTAAGATCTGATTGGCTGAGCCATGCTCATTGTAAAATACTCAAAATACACAAACATATTACAATCACTGAATTCTGTATTGATGCGCCAAGTTATCGAAGACCTCTGTGATGTTCACAGAATAATAATAATGTCAGTTTTGTTGACTGGCAACCACAGCCTACAGATGACAGCAAACTTCACTGCATGATGAGGAACTGGCCTATTCATGCTCCACTCACGTGTTCTTTCTCAGCAACTCCTGCAAGGCTAAACACTGGCAAGAATCTCATTCAACCTAATGAGAAACTGTAGAAATCTTTTTTTTTAGAGCTGCTACATAAAACTGAGTTTCCAGTTTAAATGCTCTGCTATAGAGCTTGACTGTGATGCTGTTGCTAACTGAAACTAGGCAGGTTGGAAACAACACTGACAAAACAGCCACAATGCTAAGTTTAGCTTAATTACTCAAAAAATGACTACACCTAATTTATTCTAACAGTCTGCTCTTTCACATTTATAAAATAAATATCATTGAAAATTAAATTAATAACACTCTCTAAATCTGTAAATTTTTGCCAACGTTCTGTAAAGCTTGTCCAACCTTGCGACCGTTGCTGCAGAAGAGCATATTTGGAGGTGAGGCATGGATAATTGTTTACCCCTATTATTATTATGTAATAAAACATGCTGTGTATTTTTTACTTTGTAGCTGCTTCACATTATGCCTTTAAACACTGCTTAACCACAGTGAAACCACTATAATGCATGACCTCTCATGGCTTATTGCTTTATTTCAAAATTTCCTGCCTGTACATAGAACAAAACTAACAACTCTCCAACGTTCATCTAATTTTAGCATACAAACCACTAGTGTTTAGTATTAAGTGGAATAGATAGCAGATTTCAGTTGCAAGAAAAAAGGAGCAAATGCACAGATTTAGCCTCGTCATGGACTAATTTGGATTTTCAACAGAATCCTGAACAACTGTGTATTTTCTATCTATGACTGGATTAAACCTCAAACCTCTTGTTGCTGTAAGGTAACTTCAATACATATAAACAGTGACAGAGACCCCAGAGTTTTGCAGGTGACTCAATGAGAGCAGAGAGACAGCTGAAGAGGAGAGAGAGAGGCAGAGTAAAGCGGGTTGTTACTAACGTTCATTTTCCTGCGGCAGCGGGACAGGTTGAGCAGCAGGGAGACCTTGAGCTCTCTGAAGGTTTTAAGGTCCTCCGTGAAGCCCTCTCGGGGGAATTTCTTCAGGGCATACTGATAGCGCTGAGCGGCCTCTTTCACCTTCCCTTTCTGTCAGCAATCAGGCAACATGTGAAACGATTAGAACAGCAAAGTACACTCTTTAATTTCAGTTCTAAATAATGGTGAGTTTTCCCTGCATTAAAGTAACTGACTACTTTTGACTGTGCCCAGATCTTTGGCCATTAAAAGACATAGTTTGGTAAAATTAATGTTCACCCTCAGAAAAAAGGTTTGAAACTGTCACTGGGGGGTACCCTCAAAGGTACATCTCAGTACTTCTAGTTGGGTAACATAACTGTACCATAATCCATTGAAATTGAATTATCTAAGTTGTATTGACTCCACACACCCCATCTGACTTTAGGCTTTTTATTTTATTGTTAGGTTATGAAACATTAGGTTATGAAAAAATGTACAAATATGTACTTTTCACCTGGGAAAAACTTATTTAAGGTACACAACTGGACCCTAAAACCACTGTTGTACCTTTGAGGGTACATTTACATTGTTTGTACCTCGATGACTGAAAAATGTACCTGCACAGTACCTTTATTTCTAATAGTGTACTTTTGTCCATAACATACAAAAACTACATAAGCAAGTCTATTTGACCTAGGCATACACTTTGCACAATGCTTATATGCTTCTATTATTGGTATTAGCCTTGTAGCTTCAGTGAAAAAAGCGATATATTGTCCAGCACCGGTATAAATACACTAAATCATAATGCCTGGAGAGGAACTGACCTTGTAGAATCCGTCTCCTTCCTCGATCAGTTTGCTCAGGAGGACGATCATGATGTCCGGCTTGGAGGTGGCCATTGCCCACGTCGCTGGACCTGTGCCCAACAGGACGTGTGGTGAGTTACACAACAAACAAAAGTGGCCTATCCAACACCGTGGGAACAACGGATACCACACAATCCCCTCAGAAAGAAGTCAACCCTTTATTTCTGAATGCTGAGAGACACAGAAAGTGATCTCATACCTTTTTCATTTTTTTTTAAGACACTGAAGAATAAAAATAATGGCTCTCAGTTCTGGTCCTGGGACTCCCTGCCCTGCACAGTTAAGGGTTTTCTCTTCATGTCACCCTATTCAACTCATGCAGTACTTTAAGAAGCAGGCAATAGTACGCGATATAGCAAAAATTTAACATCACAATATTTTATACAATATTTTATACATTTTTCTACATCAATACATTTACTCAATATATGCTTTGTCAGGGTTTCTCAACCTTTGGGCCACGGACCACCGGTAGGCCGTGAAGCACCCTCTAGTAGTCCTGTCTAGTGGGCCTGTACCAGGGGGAGGCAATAGTTTGTAGTGGGCCAAGTAAGATCACTTTAAGTCATAAAAACTTAAGTGGTAAAAGATTAACTTGGGCCTAATAATTAGAAATCGAAGAATCAAACATTTCCAAATTATAACCAATGTCAATATTAACAGAGATGTAGAAACATCGCAGTTGCAGGCTGATTAAACATCTGTCCTGTCAGCATAATCTGCCTGTTTTAATGTCCGACTCTTTACAGACTCTCATTCCGTTCCTGCAGCTCGAGTAGCAGCTGATAAAAACGACAGATGATCCATTAAATAGTAACGAAGAGATGTATTTGATTTCTGGCCGAGCTTCAGCGACCTGAGTAGTAAAACTCAGTGATGAACCAATGACAACGAAGCAGATATCAAGTATGGTTTATTATTGTTGATTGTGGTGAAGCTAATCCAAAAGTATAATGAGTGGAGTGTGATTTCTTTCTACATCTGTCTTTTTTTCTTTTCCGCCCCGTTTTTGACATTGCTGCAAAAGTTTATATATATATATTTTTTTTTACATAGCTGCAAATTTTGGTTTCTGTGATTGAACTGAAATGAATGATCTGATCTTTTTCAGGCCATAATTCACAGGTCTTCAGTGTGAGCAATTAAGACAAAAAAGCTATTTTAAAAAAAAACTTGATTTTAGTTTTTCTGTGGGCCGCTATGCTTAGAATTATAAACAGGTGGGCTTGGGGTGGAAAAGGTTGAGAACCCCTGTGATATGTATCATCACATTTAATTTTGATTTGAAAGTTGGATAACTATTTAAGTTTTTTTTCTATTTTAGTTTTCCCAGTTGTTGTTGTTGCCCTCAGGCTCTCTACAATTCATCTAAATTTTCTGTAATTTATTAATTATAATAATGATTACATGCTGCCCACTGCTAACAGCAGCTAACTTTAGTTAGGCATGTTGAGGGAAAAAGATGTTGTACATAGACACTCCAGCACCAGGAAAAGAAAACCACTCTATTATTAGGAGAAGGCTGGACAGAGCTTAAAAGAGGGAAGTTTTTGTGCCATGCATTTCATTCATAAATCCTAAACTTGACACCGGCAAAGAAGGACCTCTATAACACAATAACGTCTGTAGGTCACTGACAAAAGAAACACACTCAGGCTACAAACACCTCTGATAATACTGATATCACAGTGCCTTGGTAAGAGTTCCAGGGGTAAAAGGGCCAGAGAGAACAGAGAAGTAACCTGGAATTTAGAAGGAGTTCAGGATTTTATACGGGGAACACTAAAGCGCTGTGTTAGGACAGTAGTTGGGTTAAAAGCAGGCAGGCACTGCAGAAAGCACTGTAGGCCATGCAACAATGGGCTGTATGAGTTTATGGATGGATATATTTCATATCCAGAAACATTTGGTGTCTGATGTTTGCTTCTTGGTTTCCATTGGAGCTACGAACCAACAGCTTATGCAGTTTCTAGCACTGTATGTCATATTGTTTTCTATAAAAATAGACAAAACGTGGCTCCCAAGTGGCTATAAGTGTTGGTATTGTCAAGACATTGCAAGTTCAATCCTCAGCGATGGAGTCTCTCTGGGTGGGTAGGAATGTTAGCCAACACAGGCATCTGTTAGCTGAATTAGCAGTTAGTGTGGTGTCCTCCAAGCATGTTGAGCTGTCTAATGGCAAGGCTAGCACATGCTCCCTTCTGTCTCAGAGGCATGCAGTTTGCATGATGTGCTCTGATGTGGTAATAGCTTCCATTGCTTGTTAGCTACTTAAGCATCGTAGCTCTAGTGCAAAACTAAAGGAGCAAACTTAAGACACCAACTGTGTCTTGGCTGATCGGCAACATTTGGGGTAACAGGAAAAACTGTCAATTTGATTCAAACCCAGCAGCCTCATTCATATCCAGCAGTTAGTTTTGCAGACATGCACTCATGCACTGATGAGGACTGATGGAGGAGGGGAGCAGGCACTTCAGCACAGTGCGCTCTTGTGTCATTTGGGATATATAAACCAGATCTTATGCCATGACCTTAAAATAGGCAGTGAGTGATGAGAATGATGTTTCTGTCCAAGAGCTTTTACAAAGGCACCACACACAAGGAGAGCACAGGGAGTGGACAGATAGGAAATGGAGGGGTAGAGTTAAAGCTGGCTGAATGGGGCATACACACAAACACACACAGGTGAGGGGGTTACCTCGGGCCCTGCTGGGGAGGGTCTGACATCCTGCTTACGGAGAAGGGAGGGGGGAGTGGTGGATCAGGCAGAGAGAAAGAGAGAGATACAGGGGAGGGGAGTGAATGAAGAGCCATTGGGTTGGAGCTCCGTATCAACCCAGAGAGAGAGAGAGAGAGAGAAAAACAAAAAGAAGAAAAACAAAAATGAGAGACAGAGAATGAGAGCCAGAGAGAAGAGAGTGAGAAATTAGAAGAATGGAAAAATGAGAAAAAAAGAGAGAGCGAGAGAGAGAGAGAGAGAAAGCAGAAGAAAAGCAGAGAGAAGAGGGGGGAAAGGAGAAGAAAAGGAAAGACAGTGAGGGAGACGAAAAGCAGGGAGAGAGTGAGAGGGTGTTGAAGTGAGAGATGTGAAGAAGTGTGAGATGAGAGAGGAAGAGCAGTGAGCAGCAGAGGCACAGAACCAGGCAGCAAGGTTAGCATTAGCGTTAGCATTAGCAGCAGCTCTCACACACCAGTCTCTCTCAGTGCAGGCGGGAGGGCGGGGCAGCGGTCAGTTACACACTGCTGGACACACAGAAATGGGATTCTAACTCTACTGTTAGTAATTTCACATCAGTCCATTCAGTTCAACTTAAGTTCTACTGAAAATTGGCCTTCACTATAACACTTCTAAAAAGATCTTTCAAATAATTCATTAAATGAACTGAATGTGAACTGACCCCAACTTTGGCATTGGAGGCCTACAAGGGTAGGTCAGAGTTTGTAAGACTGGTGGGCTTGTGGGTAGTATTTTTGTTGGAGGTTAGTATTAAAGCATGCAGAAGAGTTTCAGATTTGCCCTCTTCATTCACAGCCAAGGATCTGCTTTGAGTGGTTTTACTGAAAAGCACAGAGCTATTTGTATTGAAGAGAAGGAATCTGTACAAAACCTTTGGGTTCTAAGGTACAACGCTGCTGACCTCAGACATGAGGCTTGGCTCAACTCTACATTCAAACGCTACACATTCATATGCTACAATATCATACATCAATACTGTTTTTATACACATACAGTATTGTGAAAAAGTCTTAGGCACTATGTGTTCATTTGTTTGGAAAACACTATATATTATTGGAATAGCTGTGAATTAACATAAATGGTTTTGAGAAAAAGTAGTTATTGTGTACTGTGAGCTAGTTTGAAGAACACAAATAATACTGGGCTGCCACAAAGAGAGGTTTAGAAATGGTTGATCAAGTACACTAACATCATAAAATCATTATGCATTGTATTCATTTCATATATATTTATTTTAATAGTAGTGTTTTTCTGAACAAATAAACATATACTGTCCAGATAAACAGCTTTTTAAATACAAGTTTCTCAGGGGGCTAAAAAGTTTGCACTATATATTGTATATACTGAAAAGTACAGAGCCTTTGACTACTGAAGTATACTATCTATACACTATATGGTTCTTATGGAGGACATGTATATAACACACAGGTCATACAGAGACTCTCTGTGAATGCTAGTCTGATTTCATCTTTCCGTTTTCTCTCCCTTTCACTCCATGTCAGTCTTTCCTGTCTCTCTCACCTATCTTGGCCCCCTTCTTCAGCAGTGCCACTACTACCGATGTGTTTCTGCAGCCCACCGCACGGTCCAGAGGCCGCATGCCGCTGTAGTCCACATGCTCAATCATCGCACCATGATCCACCAAAAACTGCACCTGAGCACAAACACACAGCATGGAAAACAAAGGATCAATATCTCCTCATTGCATTTATGCAGATATAAAGATTTAAAAATTAAATTACAGAAAAATTATTAAAAAACAACAACCAACCAAACAGAATAATGTTTCTACAAAAAAGAGAGAAGCTATTTTTCCTCCATTTCCCCTTGTAATCATAACCACCACTGGAGCTGGATTAATTTTATCAGTGGTGGTTCTGTATGATAATCTGTGAGATTTGAGAGAAGAAAGTATTTGTGTAATTTTACACAGATAATCCAGATTTAAAGGTCACAGCCCAGATGTTCACATAAGCACTAAGCCACAGGAAACACTCAATAACAATAACATCACTCCACACGGCTGCATCTATTAGCAAGCTTGGTTCTTCCATTAGTGTGAGGTGGACTGGAACAAGGCTACTGTTACTGAGGTAGCTTTGGGTCTGCTAGTTATAGAAGACCATTCACTCCTCAACTGTCACTGACAGAATGTCAAAAATGCACACTGCAGATTCATACTGGATTACAATCACATTGGCAGTTACTCAAATTATATAATCTCCCCAGGTAATTTAGCTTCAATAGGGTTATAATCAGTTCTGAGTTTATTCAGTCAACTGACCATCCAACTGAAATGATTTGGAATACATTATTTTTTGCCATGAGTATATAACCATGCAGTGATTAGAAATGTTCTCACCACTTCTGAGTCTCCATAGAAGGCAGCAAGGTCTAGTGGGGTGCGCCCACTCTTGTCTGCATGAGCGGTGGCTGCACCCCTCTCCACCAGCGCACGCACCAGTGGGAGGTGGCCTTTCAGACATGCCCAGCTGAGAGCAGTAAGACCTTCCTTGTCCATTAGAGCCAATGAGGCACCTGTAGGCAAAGTCACAAACATAAGACAGCAAAGCAATTTCAGTTTTAGATAGCCACTGTGTTTTCTCAGTGTTGTAAACACACTGACTTGACCCTGGTGTGTTATAAGATGTAGGTTAGGCCATGTTTGTCTGGTTCTGTTCTGATTGGCTGCCCTGTACTGCGCCTTGCTCATAAAGCAAATTGAGTCCTCAAAAAAAAAAAGAAAAAAACTTCACAAACAACACTCCCATCACTCCATTGTGAAAAATGCTGTAGGCTGATCAGGAAGTTAAATACATAAAGCCGCTTTCCACTGCATGGTACCGGCTTGATTTGGCTCAGATGAACTCGACTCGCCTCGACTCGCTTTTGGTACCAGCTACTTTGTTTTCCACTACAGAAATTTTGTTCAGAATAGCCTGATGGCAGCAAAATGACTGCTGACCAAAAAAGGAGAGAAAAGGCAAAGAAAGGCAAGAAGAATCGAGCCGAGTTGAGCCAGTACCATGCAGTGGAAATAGTCATGATGTTACAGTCAAAAACGGGCTACTTCTTCAGCTTAATCCCTATACATAGACATTATAGAAGGAGGAGTAAACTTTGTTTACATAGAACATTAAATGCTTATATTTAAAAAAATAAACGAAAATGTGTTTTCCATGAAATGACCATTTAAAACTAAAGAAAGGTTTAGTGTGCATGCTGTGTGTGAGTGTGTTGTGAGGACGGACTGACCTTGTCCAAGAAGGAACTCTGCTGTGGCCAGATGACCCTCAGAAGCGGCCACCATGAGAGGAGTCCGACCCTGTTTATCCGCCATGTTCACGTCCGCCCCGTGATTCTGCAAGAGTTCCACAATCTACAAACACAGACAGACAGATGGACACACACACACACACACACAGCCACATGTTTTCAGCACCATAACAAATACAACAGCAACCAAACAGCTTTTTAATTTGTGTGGCAAATTAGAGAAAACATGACATTTAATTTTATTAAGTAATTTAAAATGAAAAAGCGTGTGAGGTGTGTCTCTGTGTGTGTCCTACCTGCCAGTGTCCCTGGCGGACAGCGCTGAACAGAGGGACGATGCCGTGGCGGTTGGGCTGAGACACGGCGGCCCCCTGCTCCAACAACAACCTACACACATCCAACTTCCCCCTACCAGCTGCTGCTGTTAGAGCTGAGACACAGAGAGAAAGACAGGGAGAAAAAGAGAGAGAGAAAAAGTGAGAGAGAGACAAAATGTGATAACACTATAACTCTTATTGAACTTATGAAAAAATACTTATGAAACTATATGTTCTGTAACAGAAGTTCCAGTGCAGTCTGATCGCTGGTCAGCATGAGGTGCACCTTTTCTGTTATCAACATGTAGTAACTTTCAAATGTAATCAAAAGCTCACTGTAAAGTTAGTAATGCACTAAAGGGAATGCCATCAATATTTTCTTGAATTTGTGCATAATTAATTTTTTACAATGTGAACAAGTCATTCAGAGTGGTTTGATGTGAAATGCTCCGTTCTAGAGCGCGAGTCAGTATTGTTCACAGTGGTGGTGATGGAAACCACACGTCTGAAAAGTTTAATGCCTCTACTCAGAAAGCTATTACACGAAAAGATTATAAATGCGCTGCCTCGTGCCAAGACATTGTTTTATGATAGTTTAGAGAGAAGATTTTGGCCCAAAACATATTTTTTATATATAGGGTGTTTTAAGGCAATACAGGCCCTTTTTGAGATTTACTACTATTTTACCCTCAACATTATACTTAAAAACTCTGAACACATGTAGGTTCACTGGTCATTTTGTATACTAAATAAGATGGATATGTGTGTGGTAAGTTATCAGTAAAGAAATCTGAGTCTATAAATTTCTCTGCAATGCACCATTTCACTTCAAACCACTCTGAATGACTTTGTCTACATCTCACTGATTGAACTGGCCTCTTTAAAGCCATAAAAAAGCTGTTTCACCCACACACACCACAGGCCTGCTACCTGACCGGGGCCTGACCTGGCCCATCAAAATATCGGGTTTTCATATACATCATCTTGCTCAGGTCGTGCTTGGGTTTGTTTTCTGATGCGTGATTTTAGATTCATTTTTATTTGAATATTCCAACATACACTTTGTGCATCCTAATTAAATTTAACACCCACACAGCCACCCCTCACCTGTTTCGCCCCACAGTGTGTCAAAGCTGTTGATCTGCGCACGCTCCTCCTCTTCCTCATCTTTCTCTGGGAGGTCCAGTAGGTATGATGCAATCTACACATCACAAAAACCAGAAAGTGAGCTTTGTGTGTACCTCAGTATAACCAATAATAGCCACTGCTGTACTGCTGTCAGGGCCAGTTAGTCTAAAGATATAGTGGGGTCCAAAAGTCTGGGACCACATAAAAAAAATCTGGGATTTTTTTTAACTTAAATATAGAAAAAAACAACAGAAACATTTAGATGTTTGAAAAGTTTAAAGAAAAGTTTTGACAAGAAAAATGAAGAAATGATTCTGCAATAATTCAGATATAAGCAAATTTGTGACACTGACAATGTTAAGACACTTTGTGCAGAATGATCAGATTTTTTTTTTTTAGTCTTCGACTGAAGAACATCTTTAGACGACTCTTAGGTGAATCTGACCTGCTCATCAGAAGCTTTTGCTCAAACTTTGGGTGCCCATGCCAGCTTGTGTGCTCACCATCAATAAAGCAAACGTGGGACATTAATACTAATTAACAAAATAATAAAATATTAATTCTAAAATTTATGTTAATATTTCAAAGATTCTACTTTTCACTCAAATTGTCAGGCTGGTAATATAATTTCTTTGTATTACAAAATTCAAAATACAAGCTTTTTCACTTGTGTCTCAAACTGCTGGATCCCACTGTATGTGTGTGCACTTTGCATAACTCATGCTAGTTGCTGCTGTAAGACCCTGCATTGTACCTCAGTATAACCCATGCTAGCTGCAGCTATCAGGGCCTGTTGGACTGCATGGCTCTTGCTGAAGGTTGAGGACTCCTGCTCGTCTGAGCTCCAGTCGCACTGCACCAGATATTTCACCACCTCTAGGTGGCCTCGCAGGGCTGCGTGAACCAGAGCACACTGCCCATTCCTGTCCACATGATCCACCTGCACACAAAACGCTGTGAGCATTTCTGTGCTTTTCCAAATATCTGTGCTCCTCTTTACCTTAAAGCAATAGTTTAGCACAAAAATGCTAATTTACACAGTTTTCACTAAATGCCATCAATCAGCCATGTTGTGGTGTCTGAGGTTTGCTTCTTTAGTTCTGCACTTTAGTTTTGCTATTTCTCAAGAACGCATTTAAGAAGAAAATTAGGAAGATATTGGTGAATGAAGCCCAGTAGAGTTTTTACTTGCTGCTGTCACCCTTGGCTTGCTAACTGGAGCTTGGACCAGGATTTCTGTGAAGCTGCTTTGTCGTAAAAAGCGCTATGTTTAAATTTTGACTTTCACTTGACACTTATACACATAACAGTATGTCTATATGTTTATGTATGTACAGTGTCAGAAACCACACAAGCAAGTCTACTTGAGATTACTTTAAGGAAACTGTGTGATGTGATAGGCATGCAGGTCAGCAGGTGGCAGCACCACCATAAATGCACAATGTATGCTGACCATCAAAACAGACAAGACACACGCCAATAAGGTGTTAAAAAATGCCTAATCAACATTTCCTAACAGCCTAACTGCAGTTAATTTAGATAAGCAGTGGTAAAATCTATAGAATAAACGTCTGATCAGTGTTTAGAGATGGTGATGTTTCTGATTTGATTACTTATGAGACAGAAAATAATGTGAGACTGATTTAAATTCTGAGGCCTGATACAAACTTTAGAAAATGCAATTTTACATTACAGTAGTGATACAATGGGTACCAACATTGTAGTGCCTTGTAGTGAAGCTAATTGGTGGGGTGTTGCCAATGCTATATGTGGGGTAAAGGCAAACTGTGTACATTCTGTTTTTGGCCAAACCAGGGCTTCAAGTCTTATGATAGGCTGACCGTGGCTTTCTTGGCACAGAGGGCAGTGACAATAGGCAGATGGCCGGCAGCAGCAGCATAGCCCAGCGGAGTAAGACCGCTTTCTGATGCGCCATTGACGTCTGCCCCGAACTCCAGCAGCAGGGCGACCATCTCCAGGTAACCCAGGTGGGCGTGTACACAAAGTACCGGAGCGTTATTCAGCACCTCTGTACGGTAGTTCACATTAGCACCCCCCAAAATCAACAGACGAGAGACCTGCAGAGAGAGAGAGAGAGAGAGAGAGAGAGAGAGAGAGAGAGATTAGAACACATCACAGTAGAGAGCTTCACTATAGCTACAGTCAAAGTCGCAACATAGATAGACGGCTCTAGCTTCAAAGCTAGTTATATAGACAGACAGACAGCAACTTTATTTAGGAAATTGCAGAGTTACACTAGCAAGAGCAGAACTATACAAATTACAAGAGCTAAATTGAAAAAAAAACAAAAAAACAAGACATTTATAAACAACAATATTGGAATTGTGGGCCGATGCAGATATTCACTATTTTTCATGTATGTATCTGTCAATGCTTATATAGATGCTCATATGTTAACATTTATCAAATTTAGAAATTAAGACTAGATTCAGCTGGACTAGCATAAGAGAAATTTATATCTATAGGGTTTGCACATGCAGCAAAATGAATAAAATGCAGATATTTTAGCATTACCAGAACATTCCATGTCACACGTCCTTTCAGATCTGAGCTATTGTGTGGTTTCTCACAAAATACTCAGCTCTCTAACATCGCCATCTTCCATCCTCAAGACAACTCTAAGACGTGTGCTTCTAAATGCAGCTCACTATATGGAAAGCTACATAATTTATTAGAGCCTCTCCACATGGTAGTTCTTAAACAACAATGTATTCTTTTTAACAAAACAACGTTTAAAATATTAGACATGATGTTAACACATCACTGTAGCTATAGCAACACTATTGGTAATATGTCACTAAGCTAGCTTAGCAATTCTCATTCTAAAGATACAGCTGGCAGTGTTGCCTTTAATATTATTTTTACCTTTTATTTAATTAAATATTAAGATCTGAAATTATAAGATCCTTTGAGTTTTATCAACTGTAAACATCTCTCAATGTTTATCACATGGTTTTTCTGTTTGACGACAGTCCTCAGAAATAGCTTTTTGTTTAGCATTCCTTACAGCAGGCTGCCAGGTTGCCAGATCCATCAAAAGTCTACCGTCCAAAGTTTGCTTACTACCACCCATCAGAAGTTGAAACTATTATTTCTCCCACAACAGCATTTTAAACCCAGCTCAATGGTGCAGGAAACCCATGGATTTGGCAACCTTATGATGGGTGCATTACAACTCAAATCAAGCCCTGATCGTGCATTCCTACTTAAAAGGAGCATAAACAACAATATGGGTTACAGACATGTGCTCGAATGCAACAGAATTCTTTACATGAAATAAAAATTGTGGAAGAGATTTAGATAAATGCAAGTAGATATTATACACATATATGAATGATATAATGGTATAATATATTGGTAATAATTACTATGTGTGACTAATAAAGTACTAAAATAGACGAGCTTTAACAAATGCAGTGCCTGTGTTACATAGCCGAGGAGCATCAGTTAGTCAATAAGCATCAATAATCTCCCCAGCTGTGGACAGACTCAATGTTAAGTACTACTGTTGTAACAAAAATTTATTTTAATGTAAGTTAATATGACAAAATTTCATTTCAAGCAGTTTTGGACCATTTTTATTGCTCTATTTGCCATGAAATGATGACAACATAAAGGGCAGCTAGTATTTTCAAACTGTATAAAAAGCCCTTATGTTTTTGATATGATTCACAAGTTTTTATTATTTTAAACTATAACGGCCCACAGAGTAACGTCCTGAGCTGTTTGGTTGAAAGTGGTGGGGTTACCTTGATGTTGGGGGTGTAGAGGTTGCGCAGGGAGGCAAGAGCAGCAGACAGACCTTCTGTACTGTACGAAACCCACAGCCCCTGCAGCACGGATGATGAAACCCCGACTTTTTTACTCAGACCCTGTGGGACAGCAACAGCAAAACGCCTCGTCAGAATACAGCAGTGTGCTTTTTAAACTGTGCGTTGGCTGATCCGCTTTGAGCATGTTTTATCTAATCAGGAAAGATTCCTGAATTGAACTGAGCGTTCATTATCCATATGTTTTGAGGGTGTACCTTGAAGATGTGTGCTTTGAGGATGTGGTGACCCAGCTCGATGGTCTGCTGTCGGTTGAGCTTGCCCTCTTGCCGGGAGAACCAGAAGGCCAGCAGTGTGTGGCCACTCCTAGAGCAGAACCAGCAGAGTAAATAGAGAGTCAGTTCTGTGCTGGTCTAAGGTTGTAGTGCAATACAAACCTACAGCATTAAACATGTTCAGCAGTGGGAAACATAGGTCTTTTAGGTCTTCAAAGCCTAATGATTTTTGTTTTTAAACTGCACTGTAGTAATACTCAAATTGCATTAAGTTTGGCTGGAAACAAAAGGGTTGAATTCTTCCTGAAGGGTTAAAATTGGAAATATTATCCAATCAGGATTTTTTTCTCTGTGGTATGTAGGTAGGTACAGCCAAGTGTGCTCTCCTCTTGGTTAGGACAGTGGTTCTTTTTTTCCGGCCCTTTTTTAGGGTTAAAAATATTTCACCCAATAGAAATTCATAACTGATGTAAAGCTGCCGCCTCACTGTTTTCTTTGTGGAGGTGGAGCAAAATTACTGGAATGAGGTGGTTTTAGTTCAGTAAACGGTTAATGTTAGGTGGCTAACTAGATTGTTTTTTGCATTTTGCCATTTCGTATTTTTCAGAAAGAAGACGCCACAGCTCAGCCTCTTGTTTTCTACTGGCTGACGCTTCTCAGGTTCACAAATTCGCTCGTTTAAAGTTCAGCTAGATGCACTCAGCGTGAAGCAAAATTTAACACTACTGCAAACTAATTCATTTCCCGTGTTCCTTTCCATTTAAGTGAACTGGATTATTTCGGCAGGCACATTTCACTCAGGTTCGGTTTGACTGCAGCTTTAGCCTCAGCTGTTCATCAGAGCCTTCATGACCTCGTCAACATTATTTTTTCTGTGATTTATAAGGTATATGACTCCGTAGCACCACTCTTGTGACTCTGGGACCCCCAAAGGGGCCATGACTCCCAGATTAAGAACCCCTGGGATAGGACTTCAGGAGTTGAACTGAAGGCCTACCGTGCCAGATTATCCACTAATACAACAGGAACAGACACATTTTGATTTGAGTGGAACCAAATATATGAGGGAAAAAAACAGCACTCTCAACCTTCTGGAAGTCCTACATGTCACTGACTGGGAGTACAATTGTCGCCTGACCAATGCATTTTTGTCAAATGTGTAAATGGAAAAAACGTGGCAGATCTATGCCAGGATTCTTTACTAAAACTGCTACAAGGTAAAATATATGTTAATGTCTTTTAAAGCTTCAAGTAAAATATAGAAATTATTAATAAGCTTCAGGTGTCTGTAATTTATCGACAGCAGCCAGAAAATGTTCATGGAATTGCTGTTAGCCCAGTGCTAACATACTAGAGAAATCCTATAGGGGGTCTAGCAGAAATTAGCATTATAATAAACTCTTTTTTTCCCTTGTTTTTGACAAGATTTTGTCATTTATGACCCAAACTGAAGCCTAGTTCTAATAATCACTGGAACTACGAAAAATCATTGAAAGACTACAAATGATATAGTTCTCATGCTCTTTCTCAATGTATCTAAACTACTTCTGGAAGGCCCTAGCACTACACCCAACTCGACTCTCAGAGCTTAGTAATTAGCTGAGTTAGAGGAAAGAAAACACTACATTACGCAGTACTGTGGGCCTCCACAACTGGACTGGGGCACTAATAGTTAAACAAAAGTGTTCTTCATTCCAGTCCTCAAGAAGTCATGCATTACACAGGTTTTTCCCTCACTGGGCTCATAAACATCCTGATAATTACAGGACTGGAGTTGTGTCAGGTATGTTAAAGCAGGGAGAAAAGAAGAATGTGCAGAGTAAGCAGCCTCCACAAGTGGAAATCCACTCCCTCTGACCGTTTGCCTTCTGACCTGGGGTCACAAAGGAATTTGGTCTTCTCTCCATCTTCCCTCCAGATCAGCCACTCTCTGAAGGATGGATGTACGAACATGCGTGTGCCGTCCCGCCTTTTCACGAGAAATGGTGAGAGGTGCTCTGCACGCTGCTGGAAGTCGTCCCAGTCAAGCGCAGCGCCCCGTACCGCCCCAGCGTTCACCGCCCCGAACGCCTGCTCGTCCGTCAGCGGGTGGAGCGAAGCCACAGCCACATTCAGCAGAGGCAGAGCCCGCTCGAACGACGACTGCGTAGGGAAACGCATATTCAGCTGCAGCAGGTACACCTCCGCCAGGCTCACCGGCACCACCTGACACAAACAAACAAACACAAATATATATCAAACAAATGTCTTTTTATAGCATCACTGCAAATATATTCTTTTATTGATATGGTTATGTCATATTATCGCCAGTTTTATGTTTAACCCTTAAACAAAGTTAAAAAGTGAACAAATACACAAATAAAAAATAATTTCCAATAATAATAGTCAAATAGGCTATTTTTCAACTGAAGCATATAATTAGACTATGCTAACATCATGCTAGTCTGTGCTGCTACGTTAACCTCATGCTGGACTATGCTAACCTCATGTCAGACTATGCTAACCTCATGTAAGGCTATGTTAATCTTTGTCAGACTAAGCTAACCTCATGCCATACTGTACTGTCCTCATATCAGGCCATGCTGGCTGCACACAAGGCTATGCAAACCTCACATAATGCTATGCTAATCTAGGTCAGGCTTCTCTAACCTCATACAAGCCTACACTAACCTCACATGAGGCTATGCTAACCTATGCCAGACTATGCTAACCTCATGCCAGGCTACTCTAACCTCAGAGTAGTGTAACCTCTTGCCACAGGCCTGACTGAATAAAAGCTCTTCTGACCTTGTAGCTGGAGCTCTTGAGTACCAGGTAGCCCTTCTCGATGAGGTCCAGTGTGAGCTTCAGGTAGAGGTAGGAGCCGCGGCTCAGGCCCTTCAGGTGGGCACTGAGCTTGGCAAAAGCGGCATTGTCCAACTTGCCGTTCAGGGCCACATTGTTTTGGATCTCCTGGCTGGAGTGTAGCCGGTGCAGAATGTAACCTTGCAGGTCTGAATCTATGGCATCACTCTCCTCCAGCCGGTCCAGAGAGATCCGGTGGAATGGCAATGGGCGGGTCACATCCTAACAGAGAGAGAGAGAGAGAGAGAGACATTTAATAAGCTCTTACTTAACGCATGAACCACACAGAGTAAGTGTAAATCTCCTCATAATTACAGTTCTTTAAGAAATGATTCAGTGCACCATGAAACCTCAACAATTTATTCTGATTACTTTGGTATAATTCAGATTTTTTTTTAATATACTGAATGTTACTGAAGTTCTTTACACAGCAGTGGAATATAGAAAATGATAACAATACAGTGTTTTTTGTTTTGAATTTCATTTTAATGAGCACATGCTATATGAAATCTTATTACAGAATATTAATACTGATTATAATCAGTTCTAACATGTTAAAATTACTGCGGTTGAACTGCCACATTTAAATCAATGCAAAACAGTAAGTGAATGCACTCCTCTAACAATGAATCACAAAATATATAAACATCATAAAGGCAATTCATGTTTTACACTGCACTGAGCACAAACTATGCAGATATTAAACTATGCTGTAAAGCCTAAGCACTATGACTGAGCCCACGAGTTTAAATGTAAATGGAGACTCGGGGGAGGCTCACCTGTAGGGACGTCCTGACGGTCACCACCAGTTTGAGCCAGGGTGGGAAACGCTCAATGGTTTTACACAGAAAGGAAACAATGGTGTCTCCATAATCGGGCTTATGGAACTCCGCCTCGTTCAGCCCGTCAATCAAAATGATAAGATCCTCATCACATGCCACCTTCCTCTCTGAAAAACATCATCACATACCAAGTTACGGAAAGCATCTGTGTGAGAGCATCTGCATTGAAATTTTACACATTTTTAAAAATGAATCCATGAATGTTAACATTCGTATGAGCATATTTAAATGTATTTTATGTATTTGTTTTGTATTTAATGTATTTTAACTGTTTGTGCATCTACAGTACTGTGCACAAGTCAGAGACCACCCTTCGTTCAATTAATTTCATGTAAAAAGTACAAATTATTCATTTTTCAGGAGATATTTTGAGGACATTACATATAAAACAATCCACTTGCATAAAGAAGGAGAAAATCAGGGACAATAGGTGAAAAAACAGGTTTCCAAAACTAGAGTCCTAAAAATTACTAAAAGATACATAGAAAATGGGACTCCTGAGAACCATGCCAGACCTGGAAGACCACCAAAATGAGTCATCATCAGATAAACACTACTTAAAACTTTCATCTTTGAGAGAGAGGAGAAAATCAAGCTCCATTCTTGCTTCAGATGTGAAAAAATCCACAGGTGTTTCTGTCCATCCTTCCACTGTGAGAAGACAACTCAATGCTATGGGTCTGAAAGGATGTGTAGCTGTAAAGAAGTTGTTACTGAGAAACAGGCAAAAAAGGAGACATTTTGCAAATCAAACAAAGAGGCTGCTGGTGTTCTTACAACAATGGACTGACCACCCCAGAGTCCAGACGTCAGTATTCAGTAATTTTCTATGAAACATATGCCTTTTTCCTGACTTGGAAAAATGAATAACTTGTTCATATTGGGTGGTTTCACTGGGACTTACATAAATGAAGTGTGGTCTTTGACTTTTGCACTGTAATGTATGTAGGCATTTCTTTTTGTGTTTATAGCCCTTATTAGAATCTCCTGCAGGTACATTGTTGCTGTTGGAATAAAACCTCATTTTTGGCATAATTTGAAAATACCAGCTTCTTTTACATTGTGTGAAACTTTCATGATTAATGGACCAATAGAAATGGTCAGAATGCTTGGAATATGTATGACATTAAAAGTTAAGGCTGATTTTCCTTCTCCTGTAAAAATTACATTACAGAGATATAAGGATCTGTCCAACAGCAACAATATGTTCTCTAGACAGTGCTTCAGTGTTTTTGTGTGTGTATGTCTGTGTAGAATCTCCAAGGTCAGTTTTTGTGTGTATACCTCTGTTAAGTAAGTGTAGAGGTTCTAACAGGCCTTTGCGAAAAGCTGTCATGGGCTCCTGGACGCAGGAGCGCAGGCTGAGCAGGCTCTGCAGGTGGGGCTGGCGCAGCAGCAGTTCGCGATAGGCTTGCAGCTGAGGAGCTCTGCACAGTAGCGCTGCAACATTGTGAACAAACTCTGGCACCAGACATGTATAGGCATTATCTGCCTGGCAGTAGTGATATGCCACCACCTACACAAGCAGAGGGAGAGAGACAGAGACAGAAAGAGAGAGGTTTAGCAAATCTTTATTACAGCACTGAGGGTATCTAATGGCTGAACCAAGAGACTCCACGGCTATATGTTCAGAAGCTCCCAGACACCCCTTTAAATGGATGCAACTTCTAGGAGATACAGCCACTTTAGGGCAAACCCACTGTAGACACAATGCATACAAAGCTCTATAAAAAGCACTGGAAGCAGTATAAGAAAAGTTCTACATGAGCCTAAAGTCACCCATTAGCAATGCCAATGTCAGGTAGATGAAACGTTCTTTGGAGTGACTGGAACATTTTTGGGATAATCTTAAGTCCTGAAGCTCCAGCAAGCATTCCTGAATGAGTATGAGTAATGAAGCTCCACTGAACATCTTTGGGATGAGAAGGAGTGATGAAGCTCCACTGAATATCTCTGGGATGAGTTGGAGTGACGAAGCTCCACTAAACATCTATGGGATGAGATGGAGTGAAGAAGCTACATTAAACATCTCTGGAATAAGTACGAGTGATGAAGCATATTGAACAACTTTGGGATGAGTTGGAGTGATGCAGCATATTCAACATCCATGGGATGAGTTGGCGTGATGAAGCTCCACTGAACATCTTTGGGATGAGGTGAAGTGCTGTTTTTGATCCACATCTAATCAGCCAATGGAATGAAAGCCAATAGCAATGTTCCAACATTTAGTGGAAAGCCTTCCAAAAGAGTGGAGGATAGCACTGCCAATCTGATTTCAAACATCTGATTTCAGATGGCTGGACAAGTAGGCGTCTGGATACTTAGGTGTCTGAACATGTAGTATACATATTCAAAAACCCACATTAATACATAAGAGAAGAACCAGAATGAGAACCAGAAGAGTTCCTCTGAGCTCAAACCAGTGGTAACACAGGCAGAAACGGAGTTTAATCTAACTCAGTAGAGCTTTAATAATGGGATCAAGCATCACTGTGGCCTTATTGCAGGGTTCTTCTGCTTGGCGTCCCACCACGAAAATAGAGTACATCAGACATGCCTCTCCCAGTGTGCATGTGGGAGAAATGTCAGAATTAAGTATGCACAGCACTGAGGGTATCTAATGGCTGAGCCAAGAGACTCCACGGCCATAAATATTTGATAAAGCAACAGAGCTGCAATAAAGCTTCATGCTTCAAAGAGCAGGAGAGAGAGAAACTGCAACAAAGTAGAGAGAGAGAGAGAGAGAGAGACAATGGAAAGTGAGGATGACGGTCGATCAAATGCAAAAAAGAGAAAAAAAAAAAGAAAAGGAGCTGAGAAAGAAAAACAAACAAGAACAAAATGGACGGTGAAAGCGATGGAGAGAGAAAGCCAAACAGCTAGTGCATGAAAAAGGAAATAAGAGAGGGAGAGAGAAAGATGGATAGAGAGTTGGAGTGGACGCGTGCCAGGTGATTATGTCTGCATTAGCACTGTGACAGTGAGTGATGCCTAAAGCACTGGGTTGAGCTCATTCAACACTGTGTTCCTCTAAAACAGCACTTCTCCATTTCAGCCTCGGGCCGCCCAGAGCTGGGCTGTTTTGTGTTTTCCCTGCTCTGACACACCCCATTCAATTCATGGAGGCTGGATAATTAGCTGATGAATGGAATCAGGTGTGTTACAACTGGGGTAAACACTGAAGTGGGCAGTGTAGGTGAATCGCAGGAAATGGACTGAGACTGGGTTTGGTCAAAAGCTGTATCAGCTTAGCCGTGCTGGATGTAGAGCTACAGCCTGCATGACAATCACACAACGAGCACAACATCAACCTCTTCCTCATGTCAGGCAAAAAGCTTTGTATCATTAAATGATGTTGCATCAGCGCTCTGTTGGAAATAACTGTGGTTTTATCAAGAGAGCCATCAATGGAACGTCTTATCATTCAAAGACTGTATTTGAGCAAAAGGGCTTTAGTTGAGGAGTCACGGCAACAGCACATCAGCAGCTGGGCCTCAGGCTGAAACCATGTTATATGTTGTTATGGCAAGTTCAGCGATGTTTTGCGTTTCATAATTTGTTTTTATTGAAAATTTTAACTTAATATTAACCATATTTTGAAGCCATGGCCAGAATATGTCATAGGTGCCAAACTTTCCTTTCCCTTTATGGTGATTTAGGTCATGAAATCAGCACTTTCGTTATTAGACTCTTTGTAAGTACAAGGCTTTTCTCTCTCATAAGAAAAACCTTATCACATTAAGTGCTACAGCACTGGCTGGTAACCAAGTCTGTGTCAGATTGTGGATCTTACTTGAGAGGCCAGTCTTCTGAGCGCCTCCTCCTGGCGTCTCCTCATCTCTGGAGTACCGGGGCAACTGCTGCCCCCTACAAGTGTACCATGAGCTGACTGTGGCTGACTGAGGGGCAGAGTGTCACCATCTGTGTGTGAGAGAGAGGGAGAGAGAGAGAGAGAGAGGGAGGGAGAGGGAGCATAAGTGAAAAAGAAATGAATTAAAACAACACTTTGGCAATAAATTAAATTCTTAGCCCAAATGTAGTCGATTAGCCAAGACATGTTTGGTGTCTGAAATGTGCTTCTTTAGTTTTGCACTGGAGCTAAACTGTGTTGAATTGTTAAGTATTCTCAAGCAGACTTGATTGTGTGGCTCGTGACAAATGTTATCTATAAAAATGGACAAAAAATTGTCGCACAGGCTAGGCTTAATCTATGTAAAAAAAAAAAACGTGTGGTGACCATTGTGTCCAAGGTCATCGTTCAATTCTGTACTGTTCAGCTACGATTGCCACTCAGTGTAATACCAGCTTAAGTAACATTAAGTAAGACCTTATTTCATAGACTGACATCAGCAAACCTTTAGGCTAGCTTGCTGTTTTGCTGATTATGTTTAGCTTAGAGTGATATTACCAAATAGCAAGCTAGCTATATAGCTACTTATGTTTAGCTAGCATACTCCAAAGAGAGTTACTTGTCGTCGTACTAGATATCGTATTTAATCACAGGGAGTTTGGCTGCAGTTATATATAATATTTCTGTTTAAAATAAACACAGTAACAAGCTATTTGTGTAGCTAATTTTTATCCCAAAAAGCTAACTTTAGCTCACCTTTACTTTGTCCAGAAGTTCTCATTGGAAATTAATTAGTGCGAGAGCTGCCATAATCTTTATATAAAAAGTAGCCAGCTAGTTAAGTGCTGCTATCTGAGCTGTGCTTGGTCCAAATGGGCCTCAAACTCCTGGCAGAACTGTGTCATTCCCATGATTACTCTATGCACACAAGCTGTCTACGTAGCTAACTTTAGCAGCTAGCAAAAAAAAGCCTCTTTCTTACCAACAATTTAAAAATAATTTCCAATTTATTTGTGTAAGCAAAGTAGTTGAAATCATGAGGCTCTATACTCTTTTCACTCACGTTTGGGTGAGGAATGCGGGCTTTCCGAGGCGATCTGTCTCATACGGTTGCCGTGGCAGCTGAGCGCCACCAGGCGGGAAATGATGGCCGTCTTGCCGAAACCCACGTTGCCCACGATGACAACGCCTTGATTGGTGGGCTCACTGCCACGGAGATGGGCATCCACTTCTTGAAACAGCCATTCACGCCCCGTGAAGACAGAGTCGGGCGTCAGACTGGGCACCTCAAACAGCAAGGGCTTCAGGGCGATGTCCGGCGGGCGGTACGGGGCAAAGCGTACTGCATCGAGGGAAACATAGGAAAGGTGTGTGAATCCATTTACTCTGTGCACTCAGATTTAATTAGCTGCCCTGTCAACAGAGACTATTCTGCTGAGTTTAACCAACATAACCTACAGGCCAAAAATTCAAAGTAACATTACTTTTGTAACACTAAAGATGAGATTTTCTTTTGTTAAGATATCATGTACAGTAATATCTTTAACACAGATCTAAAGGATTTAGCTAAATGTCTCACTAAATGACTTTTTAAGAAACATTACATTTTTCAACCTAATCTACAGGTCATATCTGTAGTGTACAGTCAATTTCCACAGACAAGCAACTGCCCATTGACTTCTATTATAGGAGGGATTTTCAAAGTCTGTTAGCACTAAGCTAACGTTGATTCACATTAACATATTTTGCGTTCTAGATTAAATATGGACATTTGAAGCTTGTAAAACATATTCCATGTTATATTTCAAGCTTGAAACAAACACTTACATATATGTTATTTTATGTATTTCTTGCTGCCATTTTCCATTTCTAACATCTGAATACAACTGGGTTAGACTATGGATCGTATACACAGTCAGTGATGTATCTCAGGCTTCCAGGAGGCCTAGAGTAACATTTTTGCCTCTAAATTGGTTTCACCCATTGCAAATGTGATTCGTGGATCCCACTGTCAGTTCCTAATTAAGTTAGTGGGTAATGTGACACATTAGGCCTTTCTCTCAGCTCATGAAGTCCTAACCAATGGGAAAGGCTGTACTTACCTAGATATTAGATAAATTTCAAGAATTTAACCCTTCTGTTTTCAACCTAAACTTGACATTGAAGTACGAGTAGTACTACAGTTTCTGTAAAGTTTAAACACGACAAGCAGTATAAAATAGAATCCTAAGAACCCAAAGGGTTCCCCTCCGCTTGTACTATATGTTTCAAGCATCATAGCAAGATAAATGATTACCTGTGAGATATACCCACTGCTTAGTATGTATTGTTGGGTGAAAATGTAGGCACAAGAACAGAACAGCTTGAGCAACTATGCTGCAGTAACAGTCCTTCACCAGAGGAGGGCAGTGATGGCCACTGGCAGCCTGTCTGAACTGCAGGATGAAAGCATGTGGCTTACGCAAGCCAACGCTGCAGTGTGAAATGCCACGGATCAGTGGCTCTGAGAGGCGTCTCTAAGCCTGCTAGTGTTTGATTCAGAGAAAAAAAAAATCCAGCCTGAAATAGTGGAACCAAAAAAAAACCCACACATCCATCACCTAGTTGTTGTCATCGTTAGATAACGGCCAAAGAAGAGCTTTATTTACAGCCACTATCTCTGCTGCTTTTCTCAATTTGCTGAATGAAAATGTCACTGGGACTCCAAATTAGTGATTTGGTTCCAAATTGGAATGATTATTATTATGCACCTCATGGCCTTAATATTCATTATGATAATCCTCATCATATGCATGCCATCAACTGCGCTATATTAATTCCTTGAATAATCCGCATAATGCATACTTAACATTCATTACTGTAATCCTCTGCATTTTCATAATCATCATACAACCTGAATATTCATAAGGCCAGCCCTGATCATCGTAGTCGCAATCACAACCATCTTCACACTTCATTCTAATTGGATTGGGGGAGGGACTGGGGGAGGGAACACGTAGATTAATATAATCTCAGAGAAATATCTACTCCACTAACACCATAGATTAGTGAATGTGAGGAATATGCAAAGGTATATTTTATTGATTTATAAATTCGCCCACATAAATGAGTATAGGTAAGCAAGGCGGAGCAAAGATGAGTGAAGAAAGCAGTGGGATTCATATTTCATGGCATAAACTATGCTAGTTGTCAGTTTATGTATTTGAGCCAATAAGCATGTGAATCTGCCATGAGCTATTTGGTGAATTCACATCAGATTACAATTCTAAATCTGCATATCGCTGCTGTCGGGACAAAACATTGCATCTTCTCTTTTGTCATTTTTCATTTTGTGATATAATTTGAAAAAAGCAGTTGCCCTTTATGTTGTGTCAAAATTTCATGATGAACAGACCAACATAAATCGTCCAAAATTACTTGGGAAAAAAAACACATTTTTCCATTTACTTCCATTAAAAGTTGAGAACTTGTCCTGTAAAGTTACCTTTTTGGAGATACAATGTTTTGCTCAGACAGCAGCGCTATGTAGAACATACTCATGTTACGTCATATTCCAGCCTATTCTGGCATTACGCTGCTTGTTCTACAAATATTTTTTCTGCCATATTTTGATTTAGTGCAAAATTTCTTTGCTGAGTTCAAGATATTGGGGAAAAAAAACTCTAAACTTAAATTATGCTGTTATCAACAACACTGTCTTAACAAGGTTTAAGTGAGCAAATTTGTGACATCACAACCATCACAACTAACTCGCAGTCTGGCGACTATGGTCAGAATTTAAGCCTCAAGCCAGTATAACTGGATATGCTGGTCTTCATGGCCAAAATAGCAGGCCTGTAACTTAATTTATAGAAAATATACTGGTCAGAAAATTTGCTATATTTCCCCCCATTTATTCAGTCCAATCATTCTGGCTGGTCCAGACTCCTTTTGATTTGCTGTTAGCTGTGTTAGCATGTTTAGACTGAGGTATCCCTTCATTGACGCAACCTTTGAATTCACTTAGCAACTTTTTTTTCAAACCCCTTTTAGCAACTTTTTTCACTTAGCAACAAATCTAGCAACTTTTTGGATACACATTAGCTACTGTGAATAGTAGAGAGCGGGCAGTACTGCCCCTTGAGTGAAAGGAACACCTCTCTCTGTGTCCAGTGAGTGGCAGAGAGGCAGAGCAGCACATTCGGTTCACACGGCAGCTGACAATATAGTGTGCATATGCAAACAGTGTTACCACGGACCAATCACTAATCTGTACTGTTTGCTCTTCCTTTGATTTAATTTAACATTTTAATTTGATCGTTTTGAATGTTATCACTGTCTCATCACTCAGTATCACAATGAAAACAGGACAGCCTTCTTGTGGTATGTTACTCAGATGGAGGCTGTGTGCTGTGCGAGACGAAAAACAAGAAAGATATTGTGATATTCTGCTTCTAACTGTATCTCTCAATGATTATTTTACATGTAAATATAGCCGAAACCACAGCACAGCTGTTGTCTTCAAATGATGTGTATGGTGATTTTGTCAGATGACGTCACGGTTATAAAATCTGAATTTTAGCAGCGTAAAGCAGCAGCTTGGAAATGGCTTGGAAGTGACTGCTGGTTGACATGTAGTAATGGGCCATGAATCAATCACTATTTCATACTAGTCCTGTTGTGTGACAACAGAAAGAGAAAATATGTAAATGAGAACAGCTCTATTGGGAATTTGGTTGTGTTAAAATACAGTACATGTGAGCGCAGAGAGTAGGAGAGAAGCAACCAGATGTAAAGGGCTGACATCTGACACTAGGCAGAACACAAATACGACAATGATGTCATAAATATGCTGATTAGTGCATGATGTCATTGAGTGACATTTTGTGACTCTTCAAGCGGGCTTTAGCTACTTTCCACTGAAAGTAACTGGCAACACTGGATCCCTTCAAGCAGAGCAGAACTGCAGCAGCGCTTAGAGAAACTGCTGCACTTAGCACATTTCAACACACTGTACACAGCCAGACTGAGGCTGATTCACTCGGCTACAGCTACGCCCCAATATAGAACCCTTTCACACAGCAGCTCAGAGACAGTGCTAATGCTAATGCTACCAAGGTCAGCATGCCAATCTGTTAAAAGGGAATTCCACTTATTTTTCAACATTTCAATCATTGAGATGTGACTCGCTCAGAGTGGTTTGATGTGAAATGGTTCATTGTAAAAGTTATAGACTCAGATTTCTTCTTTACAGTGGTGGTGATAGGAACCAGGGATTGCAATGTTTACAGTGCAAATATAGCTGTTTTATTTATCATCTAAAACCACCAGTGAGCCTACACATATCTTCTGTGTTCTTACATGTAGTGTTGTTTATAATGTTGATTTGTACAAATAATCTGTACAAAATGGTAAACCCCAAAAAAATTATACAGTGAAAAAATGTAAGGAAATGAGTTAGAAAAATCTAAAAAATTCATGAATTAATTTTTGATCATCTCCCAACAGCATGATTAGAATATTTTTCACAGGTACCAAAATGTAAATGTAAAGTATGTTTCAACCCTTAATGTCAATGTCACTGTGACTGCAATTTGTTCAGTATTCTGTAACTCATTTACAGCGTGTGAATTAAAAGAAGTTGTAACTTTAAAATCTAAAAATGTTGAATTTGAATCATCATTCCACTAATGCAGACAGACAAACACAAACACACACACTCACCTCTCAGGTCCTGCCCGGAGCGGCCTGCCCCTGAGTTCTGACGGGGCATTCGCAGAGAAGTGCGCAGTGGGGCCTGTCTCTGTTCATCCAGATATGCCAGATCCTCCAGGTGAGCAGAACTGGTGGCTGAGAGAGAGAGAGAGAGAGAGAGAGAGAGAGACAGAGAGAGAGAGAGAGAGAGAGAGAGAGAGAGAGAGAGAGAGAGAGAGACAGAGAGAGAGAGAGAGAGAGAGAGAGAGAGAGACTTGGTCACACAACACCTTTCTGAAATAACTGCGTTTAGCTACATAGTGAGGTTTTGATAATATTACCAGTTCACAGTAAGTCATACGGTGCTTTAAAGCACATCTACAAGCCTGCACAACAGGAGAATTTTTAGGAATGTATCTATGAAACAATTTCGGTGACTACTGACCCCTAGTGTCAGCTACACTAGCCTCGTAGCTCCAGAAGCAAAACTTTGAAACCAAACATGTCTTGGCTGATCGACTACATCTGGGGAAAGTGGAAAACTGTGTAAATAGGATTTTTGCCAAACCATTCCTATAAGTTTCATTAAGTACTAATCCAGGAACTACTCTGAATGAATAACTGTCTACTCTGAATCAATAACTACTACAGATTATTCAGTAACTACTAATAATGATTCTGTAACTACTATTCACAGAATAATTCATAGTAGTTACTGAATAATTTAAAGTAGTTAATGAATCAGAGTAGACACATTCATAAGAGTCTACTCTGAATGATTCCGTAACTACTATTAATTATTCACTAATTACTATAAATTATTATGTAACTACTACGAATGATTCAGTTACTAAAATGAACTACTCAGTAACTACTGTAATTTTTTAGTAACTACTAAGAATTATTGTAACGAGTCAGACTAGTTCAGACGCGCACTTTACTAGTTTGTCCAAAATCCACAATTGAGGTTGAAAAACAGGGAAAGGTCTGAACCAAAACGAGCCAACAATATACAGACATAACAAAGATAAATACAGGCAATCAAAATCCAAAAAAGGGAACAGGCAAAAGGGAGATTCAAAAATAAGCAGAGTAGAACAGAACACGATCAAGAACGCTCAGCAGCTCAATGAAAGAAGCAATACCTCACAACTGACCTAGTCTAAAGCCTGGGCTTATAAACCAACTGGATCTAGTCACATGATACATAAAACAGGTGAAGAACATCAATAGTCAGGGGAAGCTGATCTCTGAGAGGTGGAACCTGGTGACCTTGACGTCACATGTTTACCCAGAGGGTTTTGGGAACCGGAGTCCTGACAGTCACAGCTAGGGGGATGTGTGACAATAATACTGTAACCTACTGTGAATTATTCAGTATCTACTATGAACAATTCAGTATGAAATGAAATAATGAAATGAATTAATGAAATAATGACATATTTCGTAACAGTTATTAACGATTCAGTAACTATTGTGATTTATTTAAAAACTACTAACAATCATTTCAGTAACTACTATCAATTATTCCACAGTAAATGCTATAAAAATAATCTCCACAAACTCCTTGGAGTGTAAAGTGTTTTGTATCGTTTTAATACAGTTTAATAAAATTATTTTTCAAACATCTGATCAGGGACCTTTTCAAACTGGCACTGAAATAGTGAGCTGCTTTGCTGCCAGATTTCTCAAACGTTCTGCTTTTCTTTACCAAAGAATCCTTTTTGGCACCGTTTCCCAAATCCATGAGAATACACACACACACACACACACACAAACAAACACACACACACACACAGAAATACAGCCTCGTTACCCAACAGCCCTGGTTACACATGCCTCAAAACATAACATGGTGAGTGAGTTGTGGTTCTGATATTATATATCTTGATGACTGGATTTACTACGACTCTAACTGACCAAAAAGGAACGAGTAATGAAATGTAGTGCTTTTTCTTACCGCCCTGAACTCGGCTGGATCTCAGAGAGAGAGAGTGAGGATGAGGAGTAAATGTTGGAAGAAAAGAAGGAACACGGCAGAATGGAGTAAATCTAAACAGCTGAGCTTGGTCAGTCTCTGTACATGTGTGTGTATGTGTGTGAAAATGACAAAGTCGCTCTGGTCAAGGCACAGACCAACGCAGTATCCTTTCCTTCCTCTCCGGAAAGCACATGCAAGCTTGTGCTTGTGTGTGTGAGCCTTCAAGCCTCTTCCCCTGCGTGAATGTGAGGAAGAGGTGACGATATGCACACAGCAGGATGTGTCGGCAGCAGCTCTTCTGATTTGACTGTATTCACTGCAGTTCATTTCACAGGAACAAACGCATGAAGCTGACAGCAGGACAAAAATCACTCTTTCTCCTCCATCACTGCAGTATCACTCCACTGCACTGCTCCAGTTCTCATTCGGCCACATTCACGCCCAACTGGCACATTTACCAAGTCCTATTAAGCCTGCACTACTGTTAGCTTTGGCAATACCGATAATGTAGAAGGCTGCAATATGCAAATGAGCCCTTTAATGAATACAGAACTGTTTATTGTGTGCTTTGAGCATCTTGAACAATGTCTGATATTAATGAGTGGTTCTGTGTAGGCCTGTTTAACCTGTCAATCCATTACTGTATAAATAACTTCATTTATTAATTTGTCTTTTTTTTGTTCAATTATTAAACACTGCAAAAATGGTATACTGTCAAGTGAAATCATCTAGTTGATATACCTAATATTTCTCATTTTGAATTGGTTGTGCACTTATAATAATATTATCTAGCTTATTTCTAGACATTTTTTACATGTTTTAAGTAATTTTATTAAGTAAAATTATTTCACTATACTGGCAAATAATTTTGCTGGTTTCAAGCATAAAACAAGCAAAACTGTCTGCCAATATAATGAGATAATTCTACTCAATAAAATGACTTAAAACAAGTGAAAAATGTCTTGACGAAAAGGTAAATAATCTTAAATTAAGCTTTCAACAATCTCAACAGGATAAATATTAGATTTCTTGACTATATTTAAGATAATTTTACTTGACCTGACTGATTTTGCAGTGAAGTACAAGCCTAAAGTGGCAAAACTAGTTGATAAGCTATTTTGCTTCCTATCTATCCTGACTTAGTAGCTTCCAATCGACAACAGGCACAGTTTAAGCTCAAATAAACAAACATTACTCAGTGCTGCCCTCTAAAGGTGTTAACAAACATCAAATAAACAAACATTACTCGCTGTCGCACTCTGAACATGTTATAGGACCAGTAAGAACTTAGAGGTTTTGCTGATTCCTGACACATACAATAAAAATTTTAGGCAAAACGCTTATCTTAAAACGAACATAAAACAATGTGTCAGGAATCAGGCAGAGTATTCATAACCACATCATTTAATAACTTTCTGTGGACAAGATTTGAGTGACTATTGACTACAGTGTTTATTAACTACTTTAGTCTTGTAGGTCCAGCACTAGACTAAAGAAGCAAAATGCTGACACTAAAGGTGTCTTGGCTGATTGACATCTGAGGTAAGTAGAAAACTGTAAATATGATTTTTGTCATAACCATTTCAGATACTAACTTTCTATGAGAGAGCTTTTAGAGGCATTAAACTATTCAGACGTCTGGTTCCTATCACCACCACTGTGAACCAGTCTGATTCTGCAAGTTACTCTAGAACGGGGCATTTCACAACAAACCACTCTGAATGACTGTTTACATATTAACCATTTAATCATACAGAATTAAAATGACCTATTTTCAATTGGAGCAGTTCACTTCAGGTGAATACTTTAGGCAATCGTGATCAAACGCTCTACCTGAATATCTATCAATTATCTATCAGCATCACATCACACGGGATTATATATTTTTTTGCCTCTCCAATATCTAATCCAGCATTTTCTGCTGATATGGGCCCAATACTGATACCTGGTATTGGATTAGTGCCGTCTCTGTCCATGACCTGTCTCAAATCAATATGTTTTCTCCTTTCTCTTTTTTACACGCACATGCTTTATTCACATTCTGGCTGTTTTGACAGAAAAAATTATTTTGAAACTCTGGAAAATGGTTAACAATTGCCATCAGGCGATATGTAATAGTTGTGAGAGGCCCATTTCTGTGGGTGTTTTTATAAATAAAAGTATTCAAACAAGCATTTTTGTCACAGTTATACAGGCCAATCTTTAACCGTGTTACATCAATGTGTTTTTAATTTATCCCTAAGTGTATTGCAACCATAATATGTTGCTGTAGAATCACAATACGAGTATTTTGTCTATATTGTGCACCCCTAGTTCCTATAATCTCTCCAACAGTATATAAACCCCCAATTTATATTAACCGCATGTTGCATTTCCTTCTATCTCTCTTTCTCTCTCTGCCTCTTTCTCTCTTTTTCTCCTCTTTCTCTCTCTCTGCAGTGCAGTGTGCCTGGCGTCACCCAGTCGTTGGACTTGCTCCGACTCATTCGCTGCATCAAAGGGCGCTTGGTCCCCACGGTGGAGCTTGTCCAGGAGGCCCTGCTGCACATTTTGGCCTTGGCTGTTGGCTGAGTGCCAGCCCTCCATATCTCACAAGGTTGAGAGCTTTTACAAGACGCAGCGCTGCTCCCCCAGCACTGAGGCCAGGTTTTAAAGGGCTGTCAACTTATTTTGTTAATCTGTTTATGCTTTTAGCTATAGGATCCTGCAGGAATGTACTTTTACTGCCAAATAAAGAACAATTTTGATGAGACATAATTGAAAGAGGCTGATGTCAAGTGATCCCTTGAACCAATCAGAATTAGGGCAGATTTTAGGGCAGTGAACAGCTCTTTTCCAGAGCCCCTCCCAACACAAACTACAGTCTCTTTAGTTGTGCTTGAGGACCAGCTGGTGCCTTTGGCTGTGGTAAAATCACTGTAACACACGGCCTTCATTTAAAAGAAATGTGTCCGCAGTGTACACTACAAACGATCAGTGAAACTGGGATTTGAAGAGCAGCACACTTATAGGGTCATTCTTTCTCGACCTCTACTATCACTGGACGTCTGAGAAACCAGGCAAACTTGCTTAGTTTGCTGGCTAGTCTAATATAGCTAGCAATTGCTCCATTGTTTTAAGGATTATATGCTTCTCACAGCCACTTGAACGCAGCAAGTGCTAACTGTGCTAGGATGATTGACCGAATTCCTACTTGTGTTAGTCTTACCACCTCACCATGGCAGTTACCATAGTCACCATGGCCAGTTTACCTGCATAATCCAATATCTCATACACATTTAAAGCTCTGCCAGAAAATAAAAGCTTTAAAAAACAGAATAAGCCTGCTGCCATGGGATTCTTTATGGTGCCTGATCAGCTGAGATGTTCTAGCTTTTCATTCCAATTGAATTAGTTCAGGGTTTTTTTGTAAAATGTAATATGAAGGTATATGAACATGAACTGCTGGTTATTTTAATTATGATGGTTTTAAAAATGATCCATAGCTGCAGCATTACTTTGTACAGTGTGCGTTTGGTGAATCTACAGTTCTGTGCAAAGGTCAGAGACCACTCGCTTATTTCATTTCTAATTAAAATGGCACTCAAGTACAAGGCGTTCATTTTTCAGTGTCAGGACAAAAGCAGAAAATATTTATTATCTAACAGAATATTACATAGAAGGCTCCACAACTACGTATCGTGATTTTTTTCAGTATTTATTGTGTCCATTCTTTCATGCTTTTATTAGAGCTTCAGTTCTTTTCAGAAGACGTGCTTTCAGTTTTTCGTAGAAATCTGCAGGGACATTTTTCCACAACTCCAAAGTTCAGTCTTAGAATTTGGTTGCATTTTCTGCTTCTCATGATCCAAGTGAACGCATTTAATGACGTTGAAGTCTCTGGGGTGAACGCCTTCTTTGATTCGCAAATTTTCTTGACTACTGGTCTCTGGCCTGTGGCCTGTGCACAGTACTATATGTATACTTACACTAAGCAGTGAGATGAGTAAATCAAACACGGCTAAATCAGTGTGTAGTGAGTGTGTGGTGAACGAGAGCGAGAGAGTGTGAGAGTGCGTGTGCTTCTTCACAGGAGAAAAATGTCAGAGCTCATAAGGCTCCTCCTGTCAGGGGGAATAATCCAGCATGCTGTGAGCCCCCAGATCAGAGCGTTTTCTAAAGGGAGTCTGTGAGAGTGATGAAAGACAGAAAGTAGGGGATGAAGAGAGAGTGAGAGAGTAAGAAAGAGTTGACACATAGCTGGAGGAAAGGAGAGAAATTCAGGTGAAGTAGGTCAGCACAACATAGAGTCACATGCAAAAGTCTGGGTGCTCCTGTAAAATGGCATTGTTGGTTTTCAAAGTAAAAATCTACAAAAATCTAAAAGTCTACTCTACAGAGGACATATTTTCACACACTTCGATGCACAATTACTGTTTATTTGCTGAATTTAACATACTAAAAACAAAACAGAAACTCAAATAAACAAATACTGTGTAATAAACAAATAAACAGGAATTGTGTACTAAGATTTTGCACTAAAATACCATATTCGAGTGTGTTCTCTGTAGAGGGCGTGTTAACGTATTTTCACTTAGAAAATCAACAGAACATTACAAGAGGTGCTCAAACATTTGCATACGACTGCATTGTTTGTAAATCAATATTGTGACATTAGTCTTTCCATAGTGATATCACAGAGGATGCAATGTGCAGAAGAGCCCACTAATCGATCACCAGTGTTGGGGTAGTTACTCAAAGAAAGTAACCCATTACACATTACTAATTACTTATCTCAGACTGTAATGGGATTACTTTACTCATTACTAAAAAGTCATCTAACTACGCATTACTTTACATACAAACACGCAAGAGAAAACGTATCACACCAATAGAGTGTGGATAAAGGATAGAGTTTAAAGTACTGCTGCTGGTTTTTAAAGCATTACATGGATTAGCGCCATCTTACATCATGGACTGTCTGTCTCTGTATACACCGAAACATACATTAAGATCCAGCACTGCAGGCCAGCTTAACGTAAATGGAGAAACGGTCTTATGTTTTTATGCACCTAAAAATAGAATGATCTACCATTTGAAATAAGGAACATCAGTACATAAATTTGGGAAGCAACTAAACAATTTTTACAGTATACAGAAAAGTAGTTCACATCACAACAGCCTTCATTTCACTAATTCACCTTAAAAATAGCTCCCTACAAAGGGAGCCTTCAGCCTTAACAGCGTGCAGACAATCCTGTGTTGCCTTCAAATGCCATAAAGAAGCACTGTGAAGCTACACAGGGATCCAAAAACTGCCCTGAACTGAGGTGCACACACATATACACAAACACTCAGTAAGGGCGTGTTTGCAAACATCAAAAGGTACATATACTGCACTACTGCTAGTGATGTCAGTGGGTTTCTGAGTTAGAGAGAGTTGTGAAAGAGTGTGCGTGTGTGTGTGTGTGTATGTGTGAGAGAGAAAAACAGAGAGAGACAGTGAGAAAGAGAGAAAGGGAGAGGCTACCAACACTGCCACCATTGGATACACAGTACTTAAAGTACTTAAAGCTTTCATCTTTGAGAGAGAGGGGAAAAAAATCAAGCTCCATGTGTTTCAGATCAACAGGTGTTTCTGTCCATCCTTCCACTGTGAGAAGACAACTTAACACTATGAGTCTGAAAAGATGTGTAGCTGCATCAGAATATCAAAACTGGTCATCTGAGGTGTGGAATAAGCTATTACAAAGCTGAAGGTCAGTGGGGTAGTTTCATTAGTCAAGACTGAAGCAACTGATACGGTTCTGACTGAGGAACTCCTTCAACACAGCAAGACCATCTCTATGGCTCTGAGTGTCTTCACTATGGGCTTTTACTGGCGTTCACCTCACAGCAGAATCAGCAATGTGTTGAGAAGCAGGCTGTATTGGGGAATGTGTCTCACTACTGGGGAATTTCAGTTTGCGATGATTATCACTCATTCAGCAAGAGCAAAAGCATTTTAAACTGCTACATGTTTTTCAGAAAACAGAAAAAAACAGGAAAAAAACAGAAAATATTCAGTTTTGGCCTTTTTTGAATGAAGGTTATTTTTTTCCTTTCTTCACACCACAATGTACACTCAAAAAAATGAACCAATTGGGTTATTTGACTTTGTTATTAAACTGAAAATATGTGAACATTAATTGCTATTATTAATTGTGGAGACATAACACATAAGTCCATTTATGCTGACGCTGTTTACTGAATGGAAACAAGTTCATGAAATGGTTTCCTTTTTTTGAGTGTACAGGCAACTGTATTATCTTATTAAGCATGTAGTGTGCCAAAACACTGTGCCCAAAAAGGCCACTCACCAGCCACAGAATTGGGGCGGGGCATGAGGTAGAGGGGGATGGAGTGAGCGGAGTGGGAGGCAGAGTGTTCCAGACTTCTCTCTGGGATTTTGTTGAGGCTGTATGTGGAGGCAGCCATGTTTTCATCCACGCGGTAAAGGAAGGAGTCAGCTCCTGCCGTTTTTTGAGTCTGCCATAGTTTGAGGCTGCCTCGTGAACTCTCGCCATGTTTACCGCTGCGATCCGCATTCTCCGAGTAACTGGTAAGGGTGGCTAGAGGAGAGGCAACAGAACCAACACAAGGAAAATATTAACAACCACGTTATTAAAATAACAATCAGAAACAAGATAAAAAACGAATGGTTCGCTCTGAGGAGAAGCTTTATCATTTCTGTTTTTACGTTCCAACCCCAACATTAGCATTTTAAACTGGTTAGAAAATGAAACACTGGTTAATACTGTCCCTGTTATTTAGACTATAGGAAGAGTGAATGTAAATAAAAAGCAGGACTGGGAAGCTGTTAGACCCTGCATATGTATAAATACAGCAAACAGGTCTAGTTATGTGTCTATGTACCTTTACTTTGACATTTTAACACAGCACTGAAGGGCCCATATCCTAATTATAATGTCTGTTTGGTTTTGTTACATCATATTTAAGACTGATACATGTAGATGAGCTCTGTTTTGATTGGTTGCTTTGTATTGTGCCTCATTCAAAAAGCAATCTGGTCTGAAATACTCCTTATAACTTCAGTATAATGTTAATAAGCCTGGGATTTAAAAGGGAAATTCCACCTGTTTTTTCATTTGTGCATATTTCAATGGTAAAGATGTAAACTAAGTCATTCAGAGTGGTTTGATGTTGAAATGGTTCAATGTAGAGAATCTTTCTGACTCAGATTTCTGACTAAATGATGGTGATTGGAACCAGGAGTTGCAAAGTCTACCATGTAACTATGGCTATTTTACTTATTGTCCAAAACCACTGGTGAACCAACATGTATCTTTTGAGGTTTTATGTGTAATGCTAATAATGGTAAAACAGTGGTAATTCTTATCTATGGACTATTTTGCCTTACAACACCCTGCATGTACCTCTCCACCATGAATGGATTAAAAAATACTCATCTGAAAACTATCATAAAACGACGTCTCAGGCATTAGGCAGCATATTCATAACGGTTTCATGTAATAACTTTCTGTGAGATCACTTTTAAAGATATTAAACTCTTCAGACGTCTGGTTCCTATCACCACCACAGTGAACAATTCTGACTCTAAATATCTCTAGAATGGCACATTTTACATCAGATCACTCTGAATGACTTTGCTTACATCTTAACCAGGTAACTATACACAAATTTTGAAAAAACTGGAGGAATTCCCCTTTAAGGGGTTACACATTATGTGTTAAAACAGTGGTACTAAGGCCCTGAACGTTTTAGAGTTTTCACTACTCCCAACACACCTGACCTAACTTTGAATCAATTAACAAGCCCTTCGTGAGTTGAACTGGAAAAACACTAGACCATGCAGGGCTATGCTACTCCAGAACTGAGGCTGAAATATACTCTCTTAAAACTCAATATTAAAACCATCTCAGGCTGCGCTTTATACACTGTATTGGTCTTAAATGATTTACTTCTTGTAACCAAGCTCCAAAAACACAGCAGGGTGTGACCCTCTAGCTTTCCGTAATAAAGTAGAACTGGCAAGATAAAAAATATTTTTAAAGGAAAAGTTTTAAAAAATAAAAAATACAATTTACATCATAAAATATTTATTAGGCAATAAAAGGTGGACAAAAGCATGGACAAATTCAGGCTTCAAGAGGGCTGCAGCTACTGTCTCTAGCTTACATTTTTATGGATAACAGTATGTCGTACCACTGTATCAGAGACCACATAAGCAAGTCTATTTCAATATCACGTCTACCGATTTTTCAAAATGTGCGTGTAATTCAATCATTAAGATGAACAGTCATTCAGAGTGATTTGATGTGTTTTATTACACACTCCTATAACCTATAAAGAACTGCCAGTTTGTACTGCAGTACACATAGTTACTGCATAATAAGCCTTAGGATGTAATAAGGTTTTAAGGGGTTAAACTCTGCCTCACAGAAAGCAATGGAAATGCCTATGAAAATGCTGCCTGAGACATTTACATGCACTCAATAATGCGATCATAATCACATTTCTGCAGTTATCTGATTATACAAATGGTCATGTAAACAGCATACTCAGATGTCTTAGATCAGAGTAAGGTCTATAAATCCATTAAGAAATCTGATTAAGAGAGCTGGATTTCAGCTTAGTAATTAGATTTCTCAGTGCATGTAAACTTTTACTCTGATTTCTTCCAGATTTCTCAGTCTGCACATGTGCAAACACAGATCAGGGTACCGGAAATAAGCAAGCATCTTAGAGCACCCGCGAAGCAGCAACCAAACACTTTTGAAGCGACGCTGAAACCAAACACATGCTCGACGAAATGAAGGATTTAAATATTCTTCATCTTCACGACGACGTATGCTCATACTTTTAGGTAAAGTGGCATGACGTTTTTTTAAAAAAAATGCCATGACATGTTTGAGTTGCACATTACGTTTACATCATGTCGTCTTCTGTGAGTTTACTGCCCGTTTGCAAAGCAGAAATCGGATTACTGACTGACTCATGTAGAGTTTCCCATTATCTTATTACCCAAGTGCATGTAAAGGTGTTGATCAGATTACTAACAAAATCTGATTTTCTGCATTTATCGGATTATTAAGTGCATGTAAACAAATTTATTGTTTTACACTGGTTACATACTGCGATTAGGCAATGACTAGAGTTAGTATGTTTCTCTAGAATTTCAAATCAAACCACTCTGAATGACTTTGTTTACATCTCAGTGATTTATGTAGAAATTATGAAAAAATGATGGAAATCCCCTTTAACAACTCGCTAAGCATTGTCTGAGGTGAGCATGTGACGACTGGCATGCAGTTATTAGTGGGGCATTAGCTTCCATCACTAACTACATTAGCCTTGTAGCTCCAGTGCAAAACTAAAGAAACATACTTTCGACATAAATATATCTTAGTGGCCGACGTTATGGGGTGAAGGCTAAAAAACTGTGTATACTTGACTATTCACTGAACTACCACTTCAAAACAGGGTAATAATAAATAATAAAAAAATAAAGAGCACTATATGAGGCACTGAACCCTTAGATAACTTTTCAATGGAGAAGCTTGAGAGGCTCTGAATAAAACAGTTATTAAAAACATTCACAGATTCAGAGCAGAAGGCAGTGATGTGGATGTTGTGTGACCAGCCTTTCTGAGAATGGCTCTTGTTAGCAATGGGTTGTAGAGAACACAGGCTGTTTTCTCACCGATGATGCCACTGTCTCTGCTCTCCAGTGTGGACGTGGGGCTGGTGATGGAGCCGTAAGCGCCCGCACTGCCTGGGGCTCCAGGGGGCAGTGTGGAGCAGGGGCTGCCAGGAGGGGGCGACGCAGAGCTGCTGGCCAGACTGGAGCATGGACTGATCCTCTGGGTCATAGAGATGGCCTGTAAAAGAGAGAGGCAAGTGACCTTTAATGTCTTGGGTCCTCCATGGTGTACACAGCCCAAAATGTATCTTCTAACATTTTATTTGCTTATTTTTAGCTTGCAGCTCAAGGGTTCCTGACCAACGCGCAGCCCACCAACAGTTTTCACTTGACTGGTAGGAGGGGAGGGGTGGTGTAGTGGAAATGCCACAATGTACACATGCAGGCCCACCAACTAATCATGCCCCACTAAACCCCCTATTTTTGCACAGGATTATGTGGTGCTAAGTGGCTTAAAACCAATCAAACTAAACTTTGAGTGAGCTGCTACACTGGTTGCCATGCGTGCCTGTTATTAGAGGCTACCTGGATAAACACAGAAGGGTTTGCATGCATCACTCTGTACTGGCTGCATTTTACAGCTGTATGTAATGGGGGATAAATCAGCAAATGTTTCCTAAACTGCTAGATATTCGATGTTTTGCTGTAAATTTGGCTCTTCTGGTGATTCTCTCCTGAACGTGAGGCTCCTTCTGATTGCTCTACTTGCATTTTTTGTTTTTTTCTGCCGTGCTGATACGCTGTCAACATATTTTTGATTTAGTTATGCTGTTTTTTTTATCTTGCCATCATTTTTATCAGCTGAATGTAGATAATATCAACCTACATGCATGCACAAGGCCATCCATACGAGATGACGTGATGGTCACTGATATGTTTAAAATTCCATAGAATTTAACATTGAGAAGTAAGCTTTACACAAATATACTTCTATGATAATATCAGTTATCTTCTTGATAATAATAATATAGTGGATTCCAGCAGTTAGGGTACTAATTCCCTCAGCTCACTGCCAGCATCAAACCATCCACGGCCCAGTACCAGTATATGGTCTGGTGGTTGGGAACTTATGTTGTAGCTCATCAAATTCATTCTGCAGGTGATTTATTTAGACATCAGTAAACTAATTTGAGCATCATAAGTGATGACATCTTGCACATCAAATGGGATTTTTAGATTTCTGATTTAATGTGACATTATCTTAGAGTGCATTTTTATTTGTAGTTGGGATTATTTGGTCTGGACCAAAGCAGAAAATAATACATAGTTGCACTTTAGTTCTGGCATTTGGATCAACATATTTAACATTAAACCAAAAGATGTAAACAGAACTAATTATATGTGGAGTATTTTATAATAACTTCAAACATGCCTCAGCCGCGTTTTAAAACCCAAACTATCTGCTCCATAATTACCGATTCAGAGCTTATGAAGAGATGATGAAACACATGCATGTGTCAAAGCAGCATCAGAAACCCATCTCTTCCCCGAACCAAAGAGGTTCTACAGAGATTAGACCACAGTTCATTCTGTCTTTGGTCTGTTTAGGTGTCTTTGGTCTGTATTGCATTCATTCTTCAAATGAACTGCTCCAGAGTTCGATCTGAAGTGAACTGAGACTAATCTGTTCAGGGGGTCTCGATCCACTTATTTGGGCACACCAGAGATCGGATGACAGCGTCCTCGCTCGCTTTCACGAACCGCAATACAAGAGAATTCGCACCAGGGTTTGTTTTAATTAAACCAAACCTTCCAAATCTGAATGCACCTTTATTCACCCTCTGCTTGATTTCTGAACATTTTCACAGGCAACATGAACTCACTCCATTGATAACTGTTGTCTCTGTGCATGGCAACAACCAAGATGATGGATCACCTGTGTCCCAGCTACAAGAACTTTTGACAAGCGTCAGAAGGATTAGTCCTCTGCTTAGTTATGTGTGGTGCTAGCATCTCCAAAATCAGCTCAAACTAAGGTACGAGCATCAGTGCTGAACACTGTCAGAAAAAAGGTTACTGAACAGGTACATTTTAGTCTTCCAAGGTACAAACAATATAAAGTAATGGAAGTAATGACTTTACCATTAATGGAAGGTAGAGAATGAGTGAAGAGAAACATTTATTAGTTGTATAAAAGATTCTGCGGACATCAAATTGTGATAGTATATGCTGATCTATGTTGTTCTTAACTAGGCTTTTGCCTTAAGTTCTATTATTTGGGAACAAGCTTCTTAACAGTGTTATAAATGGAACAAACGTCTATCACTTTAGTTTAAGGGCCCTTGTGTAATACAATGAGCTTTACAAAACATCATATGACCTCTTACTGACATAAGCTGTTCATGAATACTATATATTTTAATGTTATGTAGTGATTATGCATCTGTTATGAAGTCCCTGTGAAGGCAGCCTTTAAATAAACCTCTTTAATGGATCATCTGTTCAACTCAAATGTTATCGCTCTTTACTGAGTGTTTGCTGTGAAGTAATTCTGTGTTACTACATTTACTATAAAGCTCTTGTGTTTGGTGTGAAAACAGTCACGGTTCATGATTATGTAAACACACATACAGTTCTCTTCTGCCCCTTTACGCTTTAATAGCATTTGACTACAGTAGAGTAAAATACCTGAAGCGTTTGGTCTGACCTCAGTGGGTAAAGAGTTCACCACGCACAGTGAGGTGCTGGGGTTAAAGCAGAGTCTCTCTCTCTCTCTCTCTCTCTCTCTCTCTCTCACACACACACACACAGTGAGATTGTGCTGACGAGCACTAAATGATCCACTGCTGTCCCGTCTTTATGCTGACTGCTGCACACTGCTGCACAACGCTCTTTTTATGGCCTTTATGGATTTTTCCACTGTAACTCAATATTATGTAATTGAATATATTATAATTCACCTAATGAAATGTGAGTAATGCTCAGACTCAGATTAGCATATTTATCCTTACAGGAATGCACAAACGCTAAACTAGGACACAGCCACTTGCTTCAAATAATCACAAAACATCTGAGATAGAGAGAACAAAAAAAGAGAGAAACAGAGAGAAAATAGATAAAAAGAGACAGAGAGAGAAAGAGAGAAAGAAAAGAAAAGCAGAAAGAAAGAGCAAGGAAGAAAAACAAAAAAACAACGAGGAGAATGAAACAAACAGTGAAGGAAAGAGAAGAGAAAGGCAGAGGAAGGAGAACAGAATCAGAAAGAAAGAAAGAAAGAAAGAAAGAAAGAAAGAGAAAGAAAGAAAGAAAGATAAGAAAGAAAGAAGAGAAGAAAAAGAAGAAGCAAAGAGAATGATGGAAAATGAGAGAGAATGTGAGAGAGGGAGAGCAGGAGCAAGAGAGAGAATGTATGAGACAAATAGAGAGAGTCAGAAAGAGAATGAGAAGGAAGGAGAGAGACAGAGAAAAGGAATGAGAGAATGTAAGAGAAAGACAGAGAGGAAAAGACAGGCTGAGAAAGGGAGAAAGAATGTGTGAGAAAGAGAGGGAGAGGAAGAAGAAGAAGAAAGAGGGAGAGAGAGAATGAGTGAGAGAGAATAGGAGGGGGGGGAAGAGAGAAAGACAATGTGTGAGAAAGAGGGAGAGAGAGAGAGAGGGAGAGGAAGAAGGAAAGAGAGAGAGAAAAAGAGAGAGGGGGGAGAGAGAGGGAGGGAGGGGGGGAGAGAGAGGGAGGGAGGGGGGGAGAGAGAGGGAGGGAGGGGGGGAGAGAGGGAAGGGGGGGAGAGAGAGGGAGAGAGAGGGAGGGAGAGAGAGTGTGTGTGTAGGTTCAGCGAGTTCACTTATATCCTCTGTCTGTGGACGGATTCTGTAGTCTGCGGTGAGGTATGTACTAATGATGACATCACTCAGTGAGCAATGTACAGAAGCCCTTCCTCCACTCCACTGTTACGCTGGCACAGCTGAGAACCTCCTGCAGCTCCGCACAGCAGCCAAGCCGAGAGCAGCACGGAACAATCTGCCTCATAAACGCTGATTTACACACCGCGTTCCATCAGCCCATTTTCATAATCAGAGTACGAACAAGCGCATAACTGACCTCCCCATCAGCGGAAAGATAAAGCGAGATGCTGACCCAACAGCTTTCACAGTGTAGTTCCATTTATGACTCCATCAACAGAATATTAACATAAATACACAACATATTTAAAATGACAGTTCAGGGAAAATCTAATGAACACTGTTTTCCCAGTGTAGGAGACATGTTTGGTGTCTGAATGTCGCTTCTTTAGTTTTGTACTGGAGCTCCTCAAACCGAACAAGCTGTTAAAGGAGAATTCCAATTTTCGCAGTGGTGGTGATCAAGACAACTGAATAGTCTGATGCTTGAAACATTGTTTTACAACAGTTTTGAGATAATATTTTTAAATCCATTTATGGAGAAGTGGTGTAAGACAAAATAATCCCCAAAGATTTAGATTTACCACTATTTTACCATCATCAACATTACATATTGCTGCTGTCAGAACAAAACCTTGTACCTCCAAAATAATAACTTTATAGAAGAAGGAAAAAACATTCTTTTCTTTTAATGTAAGTCAATGGAACCAGACTTTGTTCCAAGTCATTTTGGGCCATTTCTTTTGCTCCATTCATCATAATATTTACACACACTGTAAAGAGCAGCAGGCATTTTCAAATTATGTCAAAAACTGAAAATTTTTGGATTTTGCTTTTGTTCCGACAGCAGCGCATAAAACGTGTAAGTTCACTGGTCGTTTTGGATTCCTATCACCACCACTGTAAAGAACATCTGAGTTATTAAGTTTCTCTGTAAAAACCCTTTGTTTGCATATCAATATTAAAATTATGCTAAAATTTCCAAAAAAAAATTGTGGAATTCCCTTTTTAGGTAACCTCAAATAAGTGGATTCTGACAGCATAACCAGTGGCAAAACCAGGGTCTTATGACACCCAATGCGATAAAAAAGGGACCCCTACAAAATAACTTTCAGTTAATAAAAAAAGCAACACTTTATTTGAAGGCTACTTGCATAGGAACTTCGTGTTTGTAAAGAAATGCTTGAATATTTATTTTTAGCTTATGCTATTTATGTGCCTACATAAGAACTTCCTAACACATGCATAAGCATTGAATAACATATCAATAAGGCAACTTGAGTATTTATTAACAGCTAGCGGTATTAATCACAAGACAACATAAGATGTTTTACAAAGTAAATGCTATCATATTTGCATAATAGCCCTCATAACTTTCATGACGTATGCATTATTTCCAAGTAATTTAACTTATAAGGCAGAGGCCTTGCTATTGCCATAAGCTGTTGATAAATACTCAAGTTCTGCTTTATGAACACATTAATCAATGCTTAAGCACATGTTAGGTAGCTACACTGTATACCTTCGCAGCTTTGGTGCAAAGTAAATTAGATTTTTCTCCGAACTACCACCCCCATTCCTATAACCTATAAACTAATCCTGAATCAGATTCCAGAGCCAAACCGTGGCACATGCATCACGTTCCCACTCATCTAAACCCCCCCTTCTGTGGTCACACCAGTCTGGCAGGGTCCAGATCTAGCCCCCATCTAAGAGAGCGCTAGCAAACTGCAAACAATTACCAGAGGAATGAAACAACGGCTGAATTTAGAGTGTTTAACCAGAGGAATGTTGAGCCATGTCACTTTCCTCTGACAAAAACGCTTGAACGGAATCACACTGGAATTTTAAGCATGCATGGCAATATAAAGGCAATCACAGTGAAAATGTTCAGCTGCAGCTTATCTCTGACTGAAACCTGTCAACATGGTTTCAAATGTTTTATATTTTGCCTTAATAGTAGAGATATGTCATGGAAAAAGCAGTTACTTATGGTAATTTCAAGAAATACATGTAAATGAATACAATTTAATAGCGGATAAATGCTCCAAAAATTCCGAGCTGCTCAGAGCTGTGTGGGCGTGTCAGATTACGTGATTGACAGTGGCATCTCCCAGGTAATGTAAGCAAACCTGGTGCCAGTGGCAGTGGTGAGCGACACCACCAGTGATGCTAGAGATGCAACATGCAGCAGACAGAGCTGGAGTCGTTCAGCCCTACATGTTTGATTTGAAGAACGAGAGCCCCCCTGCAAGAAAACAGACCACTTCACTCTACACCACCGGTCTCTGAATAGTGAGCAGAAAGTGCAAAACAAAGAACAAGCACTCTAATGGTCATTTTAGAGATCTAATTACATTCTAATGTTTGAGAACTCAGTCGTTCTTATGATGGGAAGATTACAGACATACTGTGTCTGATATTTGAACGCTCATGTTATATATGTAACCTGTACATAACTGCTGGACCATGCTTCTGAAACTGAGGTCACACAAGCCATTCTGAGTTGGTATGGTCATTACTGCAGACAGTGTGGAGACATTTCTCATGCGCCTTCTTGTGTGCCACGCCGGTTAAGTACAATTGCAGGGAAACATGGGAGCCTTGAGGTAAGGTGGGCAACTAATGTAATATTAAGTTAATATATATGCTATTCCTACAGGTAAGCTGGACTGCTAGCTATCACGCTCTTGTAAATTAAGTAGGATTTTGCAACAGGTGGCACATTGTGCAGGTACATTGTTCATTCATCAAGGTACAAACAATGTAAATGTACCTCAAAGGTACAACAGTGCTTTTAAGGTCCAATTGTGTAACTTAAATAAGTTTTTCCCAGTAAAAAAGTATATATGGAGTCAATACAACTTAGAAAATATAATTTTGGTGGATTATGGTACAATTATGTTCCCTGACTGAAGGTCCTAAGACGTACCCTTGAGGGTACCACCCCAGTGACAAGATGGGCGTACAGGTTTTACACAGACTGAATGTTGAATGTATGTGCGTGATACCTGACTATCGTCCTGCTCCTCCATGCTGTACGGGGCTCTGTCAGAGTCCTCGCCCACTTTGTCCCCGAGCAGGAAGCCCAGCCGCGTCATCAGGGTGTTTGCTGCCTCGTCTGCTGATGGAGGGGGACCCAACTCCTGACTGTTCTCCCCTACAGAGAGAGAGATTTAAAAACATCATGAGTAAAATTACAGATTGGGATTGTTGCATCACTTCCAATGTCAGAAGAGCCTGATTTGTATGACATTAATGTTAAATATCTGAATCATTCAAACCATATTTTCTATACCTTTAAAAATAATTCAGAAACTTTGACTAGTAATTCTGGAACTAATCACTAAAAGACTTGGATTCACTTGTCATATTAGTAATTATTGATTATGTTATTTAATGTTAACTTGATATAACCATTTAATATTTAATATGTTTAATATTTTGGTTATTTTGTTAACAACATAAAATAATTAAAAGACAAATAATCCACTTGTATATATATATATATATATATATATATATATATATATATATATATATATATATATATATATATATATATATAAATATAAAATGTCACATATGGACATTATGGATCTTTATTATAACTACATGTAATCAGTATAGAATCATCTACTGCTTTTTTCGCCATTTTATTCACATCCAACATTTATTTACATATTTTTACAGTTTCATACTAACTATTTAATTGAATAAACTTGTCAATTTATCCAGGACAAGCACAGTACTGGTTTTATATTTTTGAAAAACAGTGATTCCAAACTGAATGGAAGTTTACAGGACTATGCAAAAGTCTTAGGCACTTGAGCACATTGTTTAAAACTACTCATCTTGGCAATCAGCGCCAAACAGAATGAATCTAAATGTAGCAAAAGTAATATAAACATAAATGTTGCAAAAGTAATATGCATTTATTATTTTCAAAAAAGTAGTTAACAACTTTTGCAAATGCTTATTGGCCAGGTAAACAGTTTTTACATCTAATTTTCTCAGGTGCCTAAAACCTTTGGACAGCCCTGTATGTTATATAAGGTAACACAGAACTGAGCAGGACAGGTGTCCTCATGAGTTCTGTAATGAAGCCTGGACTCAGCACAGGTTCAGTGTTGAATTGGAAAAAGCAAGATTTTCAGTGAATCCTAACACGTTAAGCCGTTGTGGTAATTTGACTGGCTAGAAGAAAATGACCAGTTCCCCTTCCCCAAACGGGACGGCTCTGTTTGTACAAGCCATACTTTTGCCTGCAAATCGAGGCTAGACAGCGCAACCACAGTGGTCTCCAGCGGAGTCCAGGGCATAACTCTGACCCAAAACAGCTGGCTTCAGCCAGCGCCTTCACACGCCATGCGACCATGTGTCACTTCAGTTCATTTACAAGCGACCTCAAAAATTTCACTCGAGTACGAGTCAGGAATCAAAAAAATGCCTGTGGTTGATTCTCACTAAGAAAGTGAGAGGAAGGACATGGAGAACGTTATTAGTTCATTCCACAATCAATTAACCGACCTCCCACTGCTGCTTTACTGGACACAGATCAAAGAAATAGTTCAAAAAAATAAAAGCACAAAATTTTTCAATTATTCCAAATGTAGTCCACCAGTCAAAAGATGTTTGGTGTCTGAAGTTTGCTTTTTTAGCCCCCTTTTGCCATGTTCTTCAATGGTCAGGACCCTCACAGGACCACCACAGAGCAAGTACTATTTGGGTGGTGGATCATCTCAGCACTGCAGTAACACTGATGTGGTGGTGGTGTGTTAGTGTGTGTTGCGCTGGTCTGAGTGGATCAGACACAACAGTGTTGCTGGAGTTTTTAAACACTGTGTCCACTCACTGTCCACTCTATTAGACACACCTACCTTGTTGGCCCACCTTGTAGATGTAAAGTCAGAAACGAAAGCTCATTGGTTGCTGCACAGTTTGTGTTGGTCATTCTCTAGTCCTTCATCAGTGGTCACAGGACGTTGTTGGCTGGATATTTTTGGTTGGTGGACTGTTTTCAGTCCAGCAGTGACACTGAGGTGCTTAAAAACTCCAGCAGTGCTGCTGCGTCTGATCCACTCGTACCAGCACAACGCACAATAACACCACCATGTCAACACACGATAATGCCCCCACGTCAGTGTTACTGCAGTGCAGAGAATTATCCATTACCCAAATAAAACCTGCTCTGTGGTGCTCCTGTGGGGCTCCTGACCATTGAAAGGTGGCTAATAAAGTATGCAGAGAAACAGATGGACTACAGTCTGTAACTGTAGAACTACAAAGTGCTTCTATATGGTAAGTGGAGCTGATAAAATGGACAATGAGTTTAGAAACAAGGAGGTGTTCCTAATAAAGTGAGTGTACGTAGTGCTCCATATGTGGCCTTTAGACTGAAGGTTTTTCTACAATGAAAGGCCTGATATCTGATGCCAAGTCAAACCTGACAGAGTTAGTGGTGGTTTACATTTGTACAATGCAATACCTGCAACACATAAAGACACAAAACTAAAATCCTCTAATAAAGCCTCGAGATTCGGCTTAAAATCAAACTCCAGACCCTCAAGGCTTGACTCAGGCTTGCATGAAGCAACTAGTGAACATCTCTGGGTGTAAGCTTCCATTACTTCTTAGCTACATTAGCCTTGTAGCTCCAATGAAAACTAAAAACTACAGACACAAAACATGTCTTGGCTGACTGACTACATTCAGACTAAGGGGAACAAAGTGTAAATGAGATAAAATGCTAAATTTTACTTTTAAAAAGTTTAATGAATTAACATCAAGCACACAGTTCAGTACAATCGGCTTCATCTCAGTCCAGGACTCCACCCTGAATTGCTATCTCTCCCAGACACAGACGCACATTTCAAAACGTTTCCCACCACCTTCCCATAATCCTGTGGGGGCGTTTAGGTGTGGCGGTGGTTTTAGGGAAAGCTCACACTGGTCAGGTGCCTGAATTCCTCAAGCAGCTTCACACACACACACACACACACACACACACACACACACACACACAAGTACAGCTAGACTATGTGCAGGCAGACTTCAAGGGAGCGGTAGCGATTACCTACAGAGAGATGAGCTTTCTGAGGATTAGGCTTTTTTCACCTCTCTCTCTCTCGCTCTTTCTCTCTCTCTTTCCTGCTGATAGAATCGATAACTCAAGTAAACAGATGGAGCAGAAAAAAAACAGCTTTACCCAAAAATAAAATAACAGCTGAGAAGAGAAAAGTGAAGAAGAGAAGAGAGGAGTGGAGAAAAGAAGAGAAGAAATGAGAAAAATGGTGATAAGAGAAGAATGGAGAAGAGAAGAAAAGAGAAAAAGGGTAAGTAGAGAAGAAAGGAGAAGAGAAATAAAGAGAAGAGAAGAAAAGAAAGGAGTGGAGAGGAGAAGACAAGAAAAGAGAAGAAAGGAGAAAAAGGGTGGGAAGAGAATAAAGGAGAAGAGAAGAGGAGAGAAGAGAGTCAAATAGAATAGGAGTTGAAAAGAGGCAGTCGACGTAACTGCTCTTAACAACAATTACTAACAGTAACAGTATAAAAGAATATAAGCTACAAATACAGCAGCACTGTTTCTCAGAGGCAAAGACTGCAGATATCATGTTTTAGAGTGATCAAAAATAAAACTAACATGTTTAAGTCTCTTGAACTGCCTCAAAGCCTCACATGCAGAGCTCTGTGATGATGAAAACTTCTCACTCTCCCCACACGTGTGATCCTGTATGCTGGAATATGTAATCATCTGTTAGCAGTGCTAATTAGAATCAGTCTGTTCACATGTAGCTGAGTGTTCACTGCTCCATATAAGACGTCAATACAGGGCTGAACACAGGCTGGAGAAAACACTGTCTCTAATTTCTTCATCTCTCTTCATCCCTTTCTCTCTTTCTGCTCATCCCCGTCTAAATTTGTGGCCCTGGAAATAGACCAGACTAACAAAGATTGTCGCCATGGCAACTATCAATGGCCTAAAGGAACGCGTCTAAGTATGACATGTATTAGCATCTCTCTCTCACTGTGTTTTGTTCTTTGTCTGTCTTTCTCACTGTCTCCTCCACATCTCTCTCTCTCTCTCTCTCAATGTCACCCATCTCTCTCTCTCTCTCTCTCTCTCTCAAAATCACCCATAGCTCTCTCCCTTTCTCTCCCCATGTCAGTCTCTTTCTCTCTCTCTCTCTATCACCCATATCTCTCTCCCTTTCTCTCCCCATGTGAGTCTCTTTCTTTCTCTCTCTCTCTCTCAATATCACCCATATCTCTCCCTTTCTCTCCCCATGTTAGTCTCTTTCTATCTCTCTCTCTCAATATCACCTATATCTCTCTCCCTTTCTCTCCCCATGTCAATCTCTTTCTCTCCCTCTTGATACCACCAATATCTCTCTCCCTTTCTCTCCTCATGTCTGTCTCTTTCTCTCTCTCTCAATATCATCTATATCTCTCTACCTCTCTCTCTCTTCATGTCAGTCTCTTTCTCTCTCTCAATATCACCCATATCTCTCTCTCCCTTTCTCTCTCTCCCTCTCGCAATATCACCCATATCTCTCTCTCCCTCTCACAACATCACCCATATCTCTCTATCCCTTTCTCTCCCCATGTCTGTCTATTTCTCTCTCTCTCTCAATATCACCCATATCTCTCTCTCTCTCTCTCTTTCTCTCCCCCTGGCTGTCTGTCTCTCTCTCTTTCTCTCAATATCACCCATATCTCTCTCTCTCTTTCTTTCTCTCCCCCTGGCTGTCTCTTTCTTTCTCTCTCTCTTTCTCTCTCTCTCAAAATCACTCATATCTCTCTCTCCCTTCCTCTCCCCATGTCTCTCTTTCTCTCTCTTTCTGCCTGCCTGATTCCTTCTCTCCCTCTCTACTTTCCCCGCCCCTCTCTGTCTGCTTCTCTCTCCTTCTCTCTCTTTTTCTTTGTCTGCATCTCTCCACTCTCTCTCTCTCTCCCTCTCTCTGTCTGTCCCCCTCTGACTGGCTCTATGTCATGTATGACAGTATATAATTACCTCTGGATCCCACTAATAACAGCAGTATGAATATAAACGTCTCTGTGTTGGAAAATTCTCCGTAGAATTCTCCTCTTTTTAAACCCGCAATGCCATGTGTTTAACATAACACACCAAGTGTGTCACTAAACCCCCTCTGGTCAAAGAAC